ACATTGGGTAGCCCCGCCCACGCTCACCCCCAAAGCTTCCTGATTCAAATCCTTGAGGTCCATTGTCATTGGTTTAGCTGTTCTCCTCCAGCAACTGTGACTGGCCATAGTTTTGAAACAGGTGAGGAACTGTCTTAGATATATTATTGCTGAAAAATACTCACTGTACATAATATCGTTCAATTCACCTTTAACAAAATATAAATTCAACAATGTAAGAGATGTATTTGTGTTTTTGTGCACTGGCCCTGTTTTATTATAATATATGATTCAGATAGAGCCGAAGTGAAGCTGGGAATGTCCTGATTAGAGACTTTTTCTTGTTTTATCACTAAAACAAGACTTTTACACAACTCCTGATTCTATTTTTCTGTTGACACTGAGCTTGTGTAAAGAGCAGTGAAAAATCAATGACCAAAATAGTTCTTACACCTGCAATAAATCGTTTCAGCTCTGTATGTGATCTTTGCTCTTACATCATCTCCTACAATGTTCTAGAAATGCCGGTTGCCATGTCTCAAATTGGGTGTCAGAGTGGTTAGCCTTCTTGCTTCTACGCAAGAAGGTCCTGGGTTCAAATCCTGGTCGGGAGTGGGCCTTTCTGATTGGAATTAGCATCTTTTCCCTCTGTCTTCTCCAGTTTCCCCAACCACAAAAAAAAAACAAGTTCAAGGTAAAATTCTCCAGATGAGGCTGGCACTGTACTAAGGGGACGTACTTTTCCTTGTTAATCATTACGAGATCAAGTTGGAGCCAAACTTCATCCATGAGCCCTTCCCTATTGGGCTTCCACATAAACATACACAGTCTGTATACAGTCTGACAGGTGGAAGTACCATTATGAGGATTCTGATATAGCTTGACACATATTCCATTTTCCTTTGCACCAACATACAAACACATATGAGCAAACCGGTGTAGCTTGAACATTGATTGTGATCCCAGTGTGCGGCTGCGGCTGCTATAAAGTAAATAAGTAAAGAAACTTGGCCCTGCTGAACCTGGAAGGCAATCAATAGTGTTTGCATTTTCCTCAGTGCTTTGATTATGTGCTGCAGATGTAAGAGGTTTAAAGTATTGCCCATCGAATTCACATTTGCATGTTCTGTACAACTGTAAATCCTGTTGGTCATAAATCCCTGTTGTTCATTCTGCCTCGGAGTGATTCATCTTAAATATAACCATTTGAACAACGACAGCTTTGAAATAGTGATTCTACTCTGACACAGTGTGGACGGCACTTTGTGAATGAGGAAAGCTTTCTTGCACAGTTCTTATATAATTAAAACATCTCATCAGACCTCTGAGGCTAAGCAGGGGAGGGCTTGGATAGTGCTGTAATGGTAGACCTCTGGGAACACCAGGTGCTACCATGGAGCGGCTGCAGCTGTAATAAAGTGCTAAACTGTTGCAGTGTTCTGAGGCAAGACCAGTGCGGGCGGGTCCCGGCTCAAAAGTGGCCAAAATGATCTTCGCCGACATGCTTGCAATACCACCCTGGGCCGATGGGGGTGGACCCGGAAGAAGAATTAGCTAATGCTAACATATAGCATTGGCAGACCTCTCAAAAACGTCTTTACAGGATGGTCCAAAAGTTGGCTCTTGGCCCAAAGCTCCGTTCCACATATGTGTCAATGCTGAGGGGGGTGAATTGTTTTGGACCACTCTAGTTTACTTGCAGTGAATTTCTGAAGTCTCTCGTTCAAATGAATGGAGCTGCGCCGGCTGACGCATGCGCAGATGCGTTTTTTCACAATTTTCTTGTGGGCGGGACCACTCGCGGCCATTTTAGATAGCTCCAGTAAAGCACATTTTTTGGCCCATTAGTTAGAACGGCGGAGATAGGCGTGACTCTGTCCATTAATTTTTACAGTCTATGGGCAAGACACTTCACCCATGTTGCTTGAATGCGTCTGGTGTGAGCCCAAAGAGAGAGAGACAAGAGAGAGATACCAGAGAGAGACTAGAGTGAGTCCAGAGAGAGAGAGACTAGAGAGAGACTTAAGAGATACCAGAGAGAGACTACAGTGAGTCCAGAGAGAGAGAGACCAGAGAGAGACTTGAGAGAGTCCAGAGAGGTCCGTCAAATGTGAACCAATATAGACAAGTCAAACCTAATTTTAAATTAGTCAGAATCCGGTCAATCCGTTATCAATATAATATATAATATAAAATATATCAATATTGCTGGACTACTGTATAGTAGCCCTCTTACTAAAAAGTTTGGACAACACTGGGTTCTGGCAAAGAATTAAGGCTGATCTAAAACCTAGAAAAAAAAAAACTTTTCTGTGTAACTTTCTTCCTGTGTGCCACAATAATTCTATGTGTCCTTGGGTTACACATTTGTCATATGAACCAACTCAGACTCTGAGGAGCACAGGCACTGGCCTCCTGCTGGTGCCCAGAGTCAGGAATAAACATGGTCTTCCTGAAAATGTGAGACAGGCTTAAAGCTGCATTACCTGACTTTATTTTTGTATTCATTACGAGAATTCAATCCATATCCATGCAGTGCATTGGGATATATGTCCTTTTGAAGAAAAAGTAGCGCAGATTTGTGCTGGCGTGTCATTTTATTTAAGATTGAGTTTTCGTGAAACAAGAAAGAGAATGTGTTTCGGGTCCAGATTGTGACCAATCACAGCGGACCACTGGCCCCCACTTTCTTGAGAAAAGCCACAGGTCTCTTGCAGTGTTGCCAACTTAGCGACTTTGTCGCTAGATTTAGCGACTTTTCAGACCCCTATAGCGACTTTTTTTCAAAAAAGCGACTAGCGACAAATCTAGCGACTTTTTCTGGTGTTATTGGCGACTTATCTGGTGTTTTGGCGACTTATCTGGTGTTTTGGAGACTCGTGAAGCACGTATTGTTCTGCTGTCCTCAACGTGAGCCCCTCCCCCGTCCCAAAGCACTTACAGGCGGCCAGTCTCACAGTAGCCTTGCGCAGCAGTCCTAGCTACAGTCTATGGGCGGAGCAGAGAGAGAGAGAGAGGAGACCCTGTCTCAAAAGCACAGGAAGTTTTCAGGCTGCTGCAGACTGAACTTCAGCTCCACCACCACCACACATCCAAAGCTCCCCGGCCACTCCTACCACCGCCACCCCCCACTACCCCCACTACCCCCCACTCCATCCGCGGCAGCTCTGTCCGTGACTCTGTTTTCTCTCAGTAGTGGGTCACATTAAATCATTTGTTATGCCAAACTATGAAAAAAAAAAACTTACAAAAATAAACCTAAGTAACTCTGCCAGAGTGTGTCTTTTGGGTCACTTTGCCGGTCCCAAGCCCGGATAAAGGAGGAGGGTTGGTTGTAGAGCTAGCAATTTCACCCTACATAACAATCTTTTGATTACATTTGCTGTTATAACATTTAACAATACAGGACAAAACTGATGTGTGTAATGTGGATCTAGACAAAGCATTAAAATCATTAAATGTTGTTAATGTTGAAATTATTTTTGTACATTTGTAGTTCTAAACATATTTAGGGTGTTTTTACTCACTTTTGTCTCTCCCACGACCTTATTCCTCTCTCCTACAGCGTCCGTTACAGTTATTTGCAAATGGCAAATTATGCAAATTAGGCGATGACGTCATTTAGCGACTTCTAGCGACTTTTGGGACAGCCAATAGCTACTTTCCTTACTGAGGAGTTGGCAACACTGGTCTCTTGTTAGCACAGACAGCTGAGGTAAACAAGCGGCGGAAAGTCTCGTCCTCTCCGCGCTTCCCGGTTCTATCATTCTATGGTCACGCCATCCACGCTCAAATGTGCGAAACATATTGTGAGACGTGAGCTCCATATACATTTAGCACGTTAGCAAAGGCTGAGGGGGAGTGGGGCAGTGGGGGGCAAAAAGCTCCGTAGGTGCGGGGAGGGTGAGCAAAAAGAGCGAGGCCAGTGCTCGCATTAAAAAATTTCTCAAAGTCAGTTAATGCAGATTTAAACTCTGACAGTTTTCAAATCCAGCCAACTGAAGGATTATATCTTCCCTAATTGTAATTAATTTGAATACCATGTGGTTCTATCTTGTTTTGTCAAGCACTTTGAGTTTCCTTGTGTATGAACTGTGCTACACAAATAAACTTGTATCCATAAAGTCTTCTGCAAATGCACCATGAACTGTATATAAATAATAAATCTCACTGCTCGTCAGTGCATGCCACACCTTGGTCACTTTAAGCCATACGTGCCCACAACTCAGCCAAGAAATATTCCCTCCACACCAACATACAAGCTGTCATATCATTTACAAGTATATCAGGGCTCCGCAAGCCTCTGCGCCAAACAACTAAAATAGTAATTGCAGGGGGTAAGCGTGAGTGTGAGCAACAATTTATGAAAACACCAAAGCCTAAAAAAACACTTCTGTCAAAATATATAATGAGTCGAGCTTTGGACCAGTGTTTTAAAACCATGAAGTGTGGTCAAATTTAGGTGAGATTATCCAGACTTTTTTGCTCTTGTTTGATTGTCAGTATAAAACAGTTAACAGCATAAGAATGACTTTGCTTTGTTCATAAAGCCTGCAGAGTTTCATGTCTGCATCAGTCTCAGCTGGTGGTGTTTCAGAATGTGGTTGTTTTCTATGACAAAGGTGCACCGTGGCGCACAGAGGTTGGGGGAACACTGCTTCAGCCCGTGTTATTATCTGTGCGTAACACTGCTTCAGCCTTTAATAGTCAGAATACAACGTTCAACCATGCACCTGCAAAAAAACGCTTTCGATCACATTCTCTCCGGAGCGAGTCCTATCGACAGGTGTGCGCAGACTGACCCGACAACTACACACCAACCCCGGCGTAAGTCACGGAGCGATCTGCGGAACTTCCACAGTCACGTCAGACCGCTGAAGTCCCATGAAGCATGTTCTTGTCCCCATCACACACACATACATACACACACACACATACATACACACACACACGCACGCACGCACACACGCACACACACACATACAGACAGTGCCACATCCCACGACACCAGCTTTACTCACTGTTCTCAAGAATTGGATCTCATCTTCCCCTTCTCCACCCTCAGCCATGGCTGTGAAGGAGCCTGCTTAGACTCTGCAAACACCACTGACTGGCGGCGGCGGAAACGCGATGCTGTTCCTCTCAAGCCGATATTAGCATAGAGCTCATCCACAGCCATATAGGGCAGCCCGGCCAGACCCTCTGCTGCCCGCTGCCCTCCTCCCGTCCCCACTCTCTCTCCTCAGGCAGACCCCTCCCTCCCTCCCACCGCAGTCCCAGACCCACACTGAGCGAGGCGAGGGACGCAGGTGAAGAGCGGGTCTGGGTCTGTGGGGACGGGCACCAGGGGATGCTACTGGGGCCGTGCAAACTTTAGCAGTAAGAATTAACTGAAACAAATTAATTAAGTATTAAATAAGTCACAAAATAAACCGTTTGAAAAAAGAGGCTGCTCCAACCCCTCTCTCTCAACCAACACGCACGCACACACGACACAAGCACAACACGCACACAAAACACAGGCCAAAACACTCTCTGATCACAGACCCCCAGGACCAAAAGATGCTTTCGGACATTATGTCGTCTACTGCAGAATATCCTACTCCGTCTGGGAGAAATATGATTACCTTTAAAGTTGTGTCAAAACAGTTCCACAGAAGGACTAAAAAATGACACAATTTTAGTACATGTTTTGAAAAAGTGGGGTGCCCACTTCTCACAGATACACCTTCAGTGCTTACTTGCTACCTCTGAATGAAGTTGATGAAGCGCAAGGCAGAAATGGTGCGTTTGCACTAAAATGTGTAATATATTGGTGAAGACGTGGGATGCATTATATTGACTGTGACAATGAGACCATTTACAAAATGTCTTGTTTTAGAATGTGTAGAAATATCTTGTGTATAAATAGTGAAACATGTTTGTGGGGTTTCCGCTTGTAACTCCCTGGGCTACCACCAGGGGGAGGAGTTGCATTTGTGTATTTTAAATTGCCAAAATTAATTTATGGGCAATACTTTTGTTTGACACCTGCCTGATGAAATCTATATCATAATTAGAAATACTAATCACAGCAAAATACTACAGTCATAAAATTAAATTCAGTAAAGAAAATAAAACAAAACCTTTCCTCTTTCTTTTAAAGCATCTAATTTGAAAACCTATTTGCCCTTTATAAAACATTTATAACAAAAAATACTAAATGAATTAGAAGGATCATTGAAAAATAGTTGATGAGCAAACCCCTATGTGTATGTAAGTATATTGCTTTCTTTTTTATTTTATTTTTTCTATACTGTTATGTTACTTTGTCGTCATTACGCTGTTGTTGAGGAATGTGCTTTTTTTTCCTTTTGCACACTTTGAAATTTTAAATTGAAGAAGACCTGCCTGAGACCTGTTTGAGACTTGCCTGAGTTTAAGAACCACATTTGAACTTGTGGGTCAGAATGCAAAAGGTCCTGGCTGGTCAGGTAACCTCACCAGGGAGACCAGGGACCGATCACAGACCAGAGAACAGTGCCCCTAGTGGAAGTGGTCCCTATGTTCTGGAATCCTTGCCACAGACCTCTCTCTCGCATCACTTTTGAGTTCCTGCGTTTTTCAGTTTTTCTCAATGACATATGTGTCCGTAAACCCCCGGCCCAGTAACTGTATTGATGAGAGACAAGTAGATTAACTCCAATAATCCCACCATCTGGGGATGCTGTTTCCAGTCTTCACCTGGGGATTAGCACAAATCATGTTTGAGCAGAAGTCTTCAAGGACACACAGTATTGGTTACAGCTTCTGTCAGTCACAGCAGGGGGCGGGACATATGCAGAGGCATTGGCACCAGTGCTGTAGAAAAGTGAGATGCAGGCAACAGCTCTTCCTCAAGTAAGTTTATTTTTACTGTAATATTTGAACCTTAACACATGTAATTTAGGTTTTATTTTATTTCATCATGAAATTGTTTAATCTGGAATATTTAGAGCATAGGGGTTTTGAACATTTCTTTAAAAATATGTTCATAATCAATGTTAATGTGCAGTTATTATGAGTTTCGTTCGCTGTTCGTCAAATATGTATTTTGAGTTGTGTTTTCAATATAAGCAGTAGACAATGTCTTAATGTTGGGCTTTAAAGCAGGGGTGTCCAAACATTTCAGTAGGAGGGCCGCTGTAGTTCACCAAAATTGTTCAGGGGCCGAAAACATGGATTATAAAACTGTTTTTAGTGGATTTGGGCTGGTCTGGCCTTTAAAATGGGGAATTGTCCTTAATGATTCAGAGGACATACTCAAATCTTGGTCTTTTGTCAAGAGCTGAGGTAAACCTACACCTTTTGTTGCAATATCCTAATTGGGCAGGGCCTGGTTAGTATTGTGATGGGAGACCTCTGGGAACACCAGGTGCCACAGTGGGGCAGCTGCGGCTGTAAAGTGCTAAACTGTTGTTGTGTCCTGAGGCAAGACACCCACATTAGAATGAGTCTGGTGTGTGTGAATGTTGCCTCGCTAATGTCTGTTTTCCCCAGAGCAGCTGTGGCTATAGAAGTAGTTTATCATCAGCGTGTGTGGAGTGAATGAATAATGCTGTGAAGGATCTTTTAGTGACCAGAAAAAGGCAGTATAAAACCCATGCATTATTTTTTGTTTTTCATTTCATTTCAAAACAACCACAAAAACAGTTTACTTCAAGAAGACAAAATTCATCTTTTTAAATCGATATTAACCATTGTTATTTCTTTGTTCGACGCAGTTCCACTATGGAGAGCCGACACAGTAGACTGCACCTCTTCACACCGACCAGAAGGAAGAGCAGCATGGACAGGGACTTCTGTGACTCGGGGCAGACGTCCGGCGGATACAAGGGCCTTAAATGTACACGCAATTACTTTAAAGAATCTCTCAATGAGTTTTCAGACATCGACCGGCTGTTGGAGCGTGGGGCGATCGGGAGCACGACAAACCAAAGCATGTCCAACAAAAACGAGACTTTTGAATCACAATTCTGTAGGAAAAAAGGAAAAGACAGTATTAGCGATTTCAAAATGGCATCATTGAATCCACTCAAAGTCAGAGGACGAAACCGACATCAGACTATGAGCAATGTAGAAAGAGACTTGTGTGAAATACAACATCAAATCTCAACAAAATGGATTCCAAAGAAAAAGAAAGATCCATCAAATCCAAAGTTGAACTTGAAATCACCGTTAAAGTCTTCCCTTTTTCCAAAATCTCCATTCTCCACGACGGGAAGTGACAAAGAAGAGCGAAATGATTCTCAATTCCACAATGAGATTCTATCTTCCACCAAATGCAGCCCTGGAGCAGCTGTTCGGCAGAGATCTTTGCAAGAAATGGAGGACTCTATAAAGGAAATGTCATCGCTTGGAATTCTGAACCAAATTGTAAAAGTGGAGGAAATCCTTCGTGGGGTTAACGTTACTATCTCTGACTTGTCAAAAGAGGAGGGGGAATTTTCACACTTTAAAAATAACATATTCAAAATGCCACCTCTATATGATTGCATGGAGGTGAATAAGGATAGTAATAAGGAATTTAAACATCCAGAAGAAGAAGTGGTAAGCCAAAACTCGCAACACATCTTAAATATAGACAAAGGAGAGATATTGACAAATTGTTACCTGCAAGCCAAGGCTCTGAGAAGGCCACCACACCCGCCTGTGAATCCCAGCTGTACAGCCTCTTCCTCTGATATTGCATCAAAGCACCAAAGCACTACTGATAATCCTGTTCTTGAACTGGAAAACTACAGTGATATAAACACAGAATGGACCAACTGGATGCAGGAATATGGCCATATCTACATAGAAGCCAGCAGCCATACAGAGAGCCATGAGGATCTGCTCGACTCAGGTACGAGTTTCCCAAAAACAAACACAAACACCATTTATTTTCATTAGTGTGTTTGTTTGTTATTGTCATCGCCTCGAGAAAAGGTCACACAATATATAAGCAGTAATTTGCACTGCTCTCAGGGCTTGGCATTTTGTAGCAGACAATATAAATGATGGGGACAATCATATGCTGTCTTCAAGTTAGTGGAAAACATGTTTTCTTTTGCATACTTGTAAGAAGGTGCCCTGTGATTGGCTGAGTGTGGGTAGTCCTCTCTTTTATCCAAAATACATGCAAGAGACTTGAGTGAGACCAGAGAGAGAGAGAGAGAGACCAGACCAGTAAGAAAGAGAGAGACTAGAGCGATACCAGAGAGGGATCAGAGAGACCGGCTTTAAGTAAACCGTTTGCTCTTGTCCAAATGTAATTTCAGCTGTTTCTACAGTACATGCCTGCATGGCCCTACTGGCGATATCCCAGCAACCTACACCACAACCACTTTTGGGGTTATTTTTTAAAATGAACTTTTACTTTACTCAGTTACTCTCTAAAGAAAGTAGATTATTACGTTACTCGCTAAATTTACGTTGCTTTTGCTGTTATTATCCACTATAGTCTATGGCAGGGGTCTCCAACCTGTAACTCGGGAGCTACTAGTAGCTCGCCAACCCCTTTCAAGTAGCTCCCCAAAAGGTTTTAGAAAATAAGACATTTTATAAAATACTGTTGTATAAAAGTGTATAGTAGCTCTCCTATTGAAAAAGGTTGGGGACCCCTGGTCTATGCTATCCACTAAAAGCTGTCAAACCATAGACTGTCATTGACTTTTCATTGCTGGTGGAAACAGGGCTACAGAGTTGAACTAGGCTATATCTCACTCTCCTTGTGTCAGTCCCTCAGCTCTGTTTGCTGGAGTAAACGCTGTGTGCAGAAGTGCGTGACATTGACTTCTTCTGGTTGGTCGGCGAAGTGCAGAGAATTGGACATTCTAGAAGCTTTCGACTGTCGCATTAACATTGTACGGGCCGACCTCTGCGCGCCTCCTCTCGTCCCAGGCCATTACACACAAGGGGTTGTAAATAAATGATTCCAGTAACCAAAAGGACAAGCACCTGCTGTCTATTATTACTCCAGAAACAAGTAGACGGATAGTGAGGAATCGTTTTTTTTGCATTTTGACTTTGTGGAAGTTTTTCACTGCCCCCTAAAGCTGGGGTACCTAATATTCAAGCCAAAACAATTGAACTTGATGTAACTCGATGTCATGAAGGTGTGAGACTTTCAAATCTGCTTCTTCAGACAGAAAAGTGAAAAAGAGAGGACCACCATCACTCGGGTTACAGTCCAAAGAGTCAAAAACTGACTCACTGAGCTTTTTTGTGCAAAATTACATGTTTATGACCACACCTTGATGAAGACAGTTTGTTTTAAAAGGCTCTTTCTATATGAACACAATGTATTATTAATAAAAAGTAACCTCTTGGACCTGGTTCGCTCCAGGCTGAGCTGGTACTAATGTTCTAACTGACAGTGATTGACCAGAGTGCTGCTGGAAGCCATGGTTACAGAGACATTCCCACGGATACTGGTTTGTTGTGGGTAGGTTGCTAAGATACAGTACCAGATACTAAAGTGTAGTAGAAACACAATCAGGGCCAAGGAGAGTTGAGTCAAGGAGAGTAGGGCCAAGGGGCTGGTGGAAACGAAGCTTTTGGCAGCACTAATCCAGAGCAGTGTCACACGTGTGTCTCGTGACTGGGCGTATTCTGAGCCTTCTTGGTCAGCGGTACCAGCTGGAGGATTACCTGGGGATGTTATTGCTAAGGGGAATTTGGGGCAACCATCCAACAAAACAAGACAAAGAAAAAAAAGCCTGCCATGACCGTTTTAATGAAGGAAAAAGTCAAATATGAAGTGGCTGGTGCAACTGTCTACTTTCTCTTATGTCTCTGTATCAATATTCCTCTTGCTGTGTTCTACATGGATTTTACTCAAAAGAAAAAGAAAACACTGTCTGTAGAAGCCGTGTAGATTATGGAAAAGTAAAATGCATAATGAAAGTCAAAAGAGTCTGAGCTGGTCCACCGTACAGCAAAAGTACTGGTCTTAAGTTCTGTTTCCACCTACTCCACTCTACTGTACTCTGCTCTACTCCGCTGCAACAATTGCAAAGCACTTGTTGACTCTAGTCTGTGAAAGTATAAAAGATTACTTACTTAATCTCCTCAGCTCTACTCTACTCAGCTCTACTCAGGTTTTCTCTACTTTCCTCTACTCTACTTTTCAGCTCTACTCTACTGCACTATTCTCTACTCTGATCTACTCAGCTCTACTCATACTGTGGATACTGTAAATAAAAGATCACAGTTGAGAAAAAAACTGGTGTATTATTACTTAAGAAAAAAGTAGAAGAGAAGAATTGGTGGGATTCGTTTTTTTCCTTTTCCTTTTTGTAGAAAAATGGCTAGGATACGGTATCAGATACTAAAACCTAATGGAAATTAAACGAAGTAGAGTATGGGCAAGGAAGGAGATCTATGTTTTAACAAATCATGAGGCAAAAAAACTACAAACTGATCCCACACATATCTGTATCTCTCTGGTTCTGTTCTTCCACCGGTCTCAAAAAGTGCTCTTCTCAAAGTGCTCTTCTCAAAGTGCTCTGCTCAAAGTGCCTTTGCTGGGTGCACCTGTGCTCAGCTAGCTCCACAGCAGCACTGTGTCTGTGGTCCCATTTAGGACAAGGTCAGAGGGACTCGTTGTGTGAGCATCCCGGCCTCTGTGACGATATAGACCATGGTTGATAGAGTGAGAGACTGGGGAGAGACGAAAGAGAGACCAGAGAGAGACTAAAGAGAGACCAGAGAGAGTGACCGGAGAGAGACCGGAGAGAGACTAGAGAGAGAGAGACCAGTGAGAGACATCAGAGAGAGATCAGAGACTAATTTTAACACAAAATTACAAAGTACATCTAATTTGATGTATATTCATTAGTGTAATAAAGTATATTCATTATTATTAATATTAGGGACACATTAGATGTTTGATATTGAGCCATATTATTTGCGTCTCATGCCCTTTGCACTGATCCAATTCCAAATGTAGTCAAATCTGTCATTAGCATGTCCAAACTGTAAATTCCTAAAGCTGTGGTATCTAACATTTTTGTTTCAGAAATGATACATTAGGTTTGTCCCAACATATTCTCACTCTCTGGTCTCTCTCTATTCACACTTTCTGGTCCCTCTTTCTGGTCTCTCTCTCTGGTCTCTCCCTCTGGTCTCTCTCTTTGGTCTCTCTTTCTAGTATCACTCTCTGGTCGGTCTCTGTTCTCTCGCTGGTCTCTTTCTGGTCTTTCACTTTGAATTCACAAATGCTGTGTACATCCATGAGCACCAGTCTTCATGTCTTGTTTCTGGACAGACGAGGCCCTCCAGAGGCTGGAGGAGGAATGGCCGCAGGAGATGGAGCCCTCTCTGTGTCTGTCCCATCCCAGCAGACCTCAGCACGTCGACTTTTTACACCTCACTGCACTTGAAGAAGAAGACATCAGCCCTGTGCCTTCCCCCCTCCCCCCTCTGATCCACGGGCTCGAGGTGAGTTAAGTGCCTCCTAACTCACCCTGTGCCTATCCTGAAATATTTACTGCTGCATCTCCATCCAAGCCACATACAGCACTGTACATCTCACCGCCGCATTCCGCTGAGTCATGGCCACTTTGACTATTTTTCTCAGACTATGGAAGATTCAATTCAATTCTTTGGTATTTTTGAATCACCCTAAATCACAACAGCAGTGGTCTCTGAGGACTTCACAATGTTTTCGACTTGCCAAGAACAAATCAGAGAATCAATTCGATCACTGGAAATGCAATAATAACAAACACTTAGGATATCCATTGGTCCATAGTGAGCTGGATGAACACTGTCCAGAAACACTAATAAATGTCCTCAAAGGTATTTAGGAGGATTTCCCCGAATGTTATGAAAGAAGCGGCCTATTAAAACGTGTCCTGTATCATCACCAGAATTGACAAATAGGGTCAAATAGTGCCACCAATAATGTAGATGATCCATCCGGAAGTAGAACATCCTCCATACCTTCAAATTGCAACTTAATGAGTGCTACAATGGCATGTTCTACCTCATAAAAAATGATCAACGACACTCATCAGTCTACAAAACTTAGCCATCTGTAGCTTTCAAGAATCGTGATTTAAAGAAAAACAAAACATAATATCCATATTTTATAAAATAAACGTCTCAGATGTTGGGTTAAACAAAGGTTAAAACAAAAATATAGCTGCAGATGCAACAGATGACCTATTTTTTTAGTTTTTTTTATCACATAAATACATATTTGTTACTCTTTAAACTGAAGTAGCTTGAACTCAAAAATGTTTTTACAATTTAGATTAAAATATCTCAATGTTGGCCCCTGGGGAAAATAATTGCCCGCCCCTGCCTTAGATCCTCTTGCATCTGCAAGGAACCACACAAACCCAGTGGGAAAAACCTCGCGGAGGCCCATAGTTCTGTAGTTCTGGGACTGAGGCTTTTGATCCAAGACTGAGACTGTAGATCCAGGACTCAAGAGGCTCCCAGGCAGGAATGGAGGTGCAGCCCATGAGTCCGGGTTACAGGTTTAGGGGTAAAATCATTGCGTTATGAAACAGACGAGAGAACAGCGGGTGAATAGCAATGAACTGACTACAGCGGTCACAGTTTTGTATTTGCATCAGTTTCAGCTGGTGGTGTGCCATGTAACTGTTTTCAAAGGTGTGCTACAGCCCACAGGTTGAAAAACACTTAGCAAGATTGGCCCCATGAGAAAACTGAAACAAGGAGCCAATTGAAATCACTGCAGCCTTATTTTGCTGAGTCGTGGCCGCTTTGACCCATTTCTCAGACTAAAAGGAAAGTTGCAGTTTCTTGTTTTCAGTTAGTAAGATTAAACTATGACTGCATGCTCCAACAAAGACTGTTGTGTTTTCGATCAGTTATATAATGACAGGATTACAGTTTTGGGATTTGTGTTGTGTAATATTCAATGGACTTTGGCTGCATACTTTCTTTTACTGGACAAGAGACTCAGGATTCGCATACAAGCCATAGACTGTAGACAGATGGACGATGCTCAACCGCAAACTAATTGAAGCCCAATTTAGGGAAGTGCTCCAGCTATCTCATGTACAAATTGGCCTTTTCTTATTTTGCAACACTGGTGATGTCACACTCAGTCAGTTCACTCCTCATTCTGTATATGGACTAAGATACAGGCATTTTTTTTTTTCCCCGCTTTTATTGAGAAATTGTTTTTGGAATTATGAATGGGGCAAGGATTTTGTAAACTTGGGGATCTGGCTGTTAGATGCACTAAATAACCCCAATGTATTATTTTGTATTGATATTAGAAGTGCTGTCAGTTAAACGCATTGTTAACAGCGTTGGTGCAAACCCATTTTCAACGGATTACAAATCGCAATTGTTTGACAGGACTGATTATTAGTAGTGTTAGTGAATCATTTTAAAAGAAAGGCAAGGCAAGTTTATAAGTATAGAACAATTCATACACAAGGCAACTCAAAGTTCATAAATAATCACAGTACATCAAAAATAGAAATAAAAATATAAAATCCCTCAGTTGTACGCACAGCTAAACAGAACTGTCTTTAACCTGGTTTTAAACATTGTCAGGAAGATTGTTCCAGATTTTAGCAGCATGAATCTGAAAAGCAGCCTCCCCATGTTTAGTCCTGACTCTGGGCACTAACAGGAGTCCAGTCCCTGTGCTCCTCAGAGTCCGGGCTGGTTCATATGGGACTAACATGTCACTAATATATTTTGGTGCGAGGCCATGGAGAGACTTGTACACAAGCAGAGCTGTTTTAAAGTCTATTCTCTGAGCCACAGGAAGCCAGTGCAGAGACCTGAGAACTGGACTAATGTGGTCGTACTTCCTGGTTCTAGTCAGGACTCGAGCTGCTGCATTTTGAATGTACTGCAGCTGTTTTACAGCCTGTTTGGACAGACCTGTGAGCAGGCCATTGCAGAAACACAATGGCAACTGAGTAGTACCCATCACATTTGACCAAAGTATCTCTCAAGGTGAATGTCAGGCACTGGTTAGAACAGATGCCCATGCTCAGTCCAGATACCTCCTGATTGGTCAAGATTATTTCAAATTCTTGAGGCTCCTTGTCATTGGTTTAACTGTTTTCCTCCAGCAAATCTGACTGGTCGTTGTTCTGCCACGGGAGGTTTTAAATATATTGTTGTTAAATATACGCAATACACAGTATCCCATCCATGGTTAGAAATATACATTTTGCTGACATATGACAGGCATACATTATAAATCCTCTTGAGTCTGGATACAGCAGTAACTCTACAAAGTCTACAACTATAAAACCGTTCTCTCTATTTAAATCTAGACTGGGCTGTTTCTTTGCTATGATGCAGGCAGTCTAAAGAATGTTTACAAGTAGATTAACCAGAGTCACAGTTACATAAACATAACTTGTTTTAAGGCCACAATGTTCGACTTGCGGCTATAAGCTGTAGCCATAAGAAGATTAAATATCCCCAGAAAAGGAGCATTCAGGGGATATGGGGCAATATGCGGCTATGTACTGAGTGTTATTACACAAGAACTATTATATACTCACCAATTTATAAAAGAACATCTCACTTTCAAACCACAGCAGTAAAATCCATCAAACTATAATTGTAATTCTAAAGCAGTTTGCTTCTATCACTAGTTTTTACATCCATGTGTTTCTGGCCTCTGCCACATCTTTCGATCAGCTTTTTCAAACTGAAAACTGATACAGGTTTTTGTCTCAGGGTCCGGTCGTGTCTTAGTCCTGGTTCTATTCCTGGTCTCAGTCTGGACCTTGTCTCAGGTCTTTGTCCTGGCGTCGGCCCTAGTTCTCGGCCCTGGTCCTTGTCTCATGTCTTGGTCTCAGGTCTTGGTCTTGGTCCTGGTCTTGGTCCTGGTCCTGGTCTCAGTTCCTGGTCTTGGTCCTGGTCTTGGTCCTGGTCTTGATCCTGGTCTTGATCCTGGTCTTGGTCCTGATCTTGGTCCTGGTTTTGGTCCTGGTCTCGGACCTTGTTCTCGGCCCTGGTCAATGTTGCAAGTCCTGACCCTGGTCTCGGTCTCAGTCTCAGTCCTGGTCCTTGTCTCAGGATCTGGTCTTGGTGCCTTTGTCTCACCTTTGTATCCGCTTTTTAGCCTAAAGAGCCAAATAGTGACTCACAGGGCTTCTTGCAAGAAAGTAAGCAGAAGCAGGAGTTGAAGAAGAGGCCTGTGCTGCCTCCAGTTGAATCAAAAGCTCACATCTTAAATAAATAAAAAAGTTTCAGCTTTAAGCCTTTATCAAGCATAAATGAGGTGAGCCCCAGGTGTCTTGTCACCACACCCGAAAACAGAACCTTTCACATTTAAAAGGAACGGTGGCGCAGTGGTTAGCACTTGTGCTTGAGAAGGTCTTGGGTTCAATTCCATCTGACGTTTTTGTGTGGAGTTTGCATGTTCTTCCCGTGTCTGTGTAGATTTTCCTTTATCCTAAAACTTGTACAGCAGTTCCCCATAACACCCTTCCCTACTCCACTCCTCTCTGGAGCCAGGACTCCCTTGAAAAAGAGATTTTGAGATCTCAGTTGTACTTTCCTGGTCAAGCAAAAAATAAATAGAATCCAAAGTACATACTCTCTGAATGAATAGAATACACAGATAATCATCAGGCACTGAGCCAGCACCAGTGTATACAGTTCATCATGCACACACAAAACTAAAGACAGAAGAGATAACATGTGTTAAGATGCAGACAGCCTGTTGTGGTTTTGAATCCTCTTTCTGCTTCACACATAACGGGAACACCTCAACTTTAATCATGTCCCATCAAACGTATATGTGTCAGGTGCAACCCAGCAATATGTGTAATATTTAAAAGTACAAGTGTTGTCATTTTTTGAATGAAACTTCAGAACAGTACGGTGTCAGAAATACATTCTTTTCAAGTTGCTGAGATCGCCTGTAACCATTGTTTGATTACATATATTTAATCATAAATTATCTAATCTTGAGAATAGAGAGAGAGACAACTGTCTTTAAACGTCTTTAAAATCAACACAAATATTTTGAAGCTGGGGTACTTCACTTTCAACCAAGTTATTTATAAAATTTATAAAAAATATAAATTCCATGTCACTAGTTTGTGGCTCTAAAACAGTTAATTTCACATCATGTATTTTTGGCCTCGGTCACATCTTTAGATCAGGTTTTTCTAACAATATAAAAGTGAGTACCCCCCTATGGACCCAAACCCAAGGAGTCAAATAGTGACCCCTTAAAAAGTATGTATGTATGAAGACAGCACGTTGTGGTCTGTTTTGTTCCCGAAATCTTGCAATTTACAAGACACACAGTTTTACAAAGTTCCTCATTTTCTTTGTCAGCACATATTTCATCTATTTCATCTAATTATTTTCTCTGGTCATTCTCTATGGTCTTTCTGGTCTCTCTCTGGTCTCTCTCTCTTAGGTCTCTCTCTGGTCTCTCTCTAGTCCCTCTGGTCTCTTTCTCTCTCTATGGTCTCCCTGGTCTCTCTTTGGTCTCTCTCTGGTCTCTCTGGTCTTTCTCTAGTCCCTCTGGTCTCTTTCTCACTCTATGGTCTCCCTGGTCTCTCTTTGGTCTCTCTCTGGTCTCTCTGGTCTTTCTCTAGTCCCTCTGGTCTCTTTCTCTCTCTATGGTCTCCCTGGTCTCTCTTTGGTCTCTCTCTGGTCTCTCTGGTCTTTCTCTAGTCCCTCTGGTCTCTTTCTCTCTCTATGGTCTCCTTGGTCTCTCTTTGGTCTCTCTCTGGTCTCTCTGGTCTTTCTCTAGTCCCTCTGGTCTCTTTCTCTCTCTATGGTCTCTGTGGTCTCTTTCAAAATCTATTATGAGAAAAAGGCTTGCATAAAGCACTTGAGTCAGTGGTTCTCAGTGAACTGCTTAGATCCGGTGAGGAGTGGTCTGCTCAGATTAGTCCGAGGGGTGCGACTTGGGACGGGCTCAAATGTTACCGCACAAACACTCTCCAAACACTGGGACTGCGATCGCCGGCTGCTTCAGGCGTGGCTCCCTCACGGATCTACCAGGGCGGTGTCACCAGTGCTGGAAGCCACTTAAAGAATTGGACGTTGCACTTTGGAAGATGACGGGGAAGACAGTTTGGACGACATCTCGCACACTATAATATTAGTTTTGGCTCATCTGCTGCTGACTAAGGACTTGGAACGCCTGATTGAAGCCATTACTCTTTGGTGGTCTTATCTTTACGTTCTACTTTTAGTATTTCACTAAAGATAAAACATGTGCATACTTTTTTGGGGAAGGATTTTTCAATTTGCTTTAAACGCAGCTGTATATGGCTCTTGGCAAAGTGCTTGGTCAACATTCCAGCTTGCATAGCCTCTTCTCATCTTTCCCATAATTCACTTTTTGTTAGTATTGTTCTGCATCTATCATGGAAGAACCAACTGCAATACTGAAATGTTTCCGACAATTTCCGGAAGATTTTGAAAGAAACCTGTTTGAAGATAACGCAAGCTGGGGCGTAGCTCAGAACGCCTGGCCTTGTGATAAAACTGATAATCTCAACGTACTTTTCCAATCCAACGAGAAGGAGCTTGACGATTCTGAAGATTACAGTTCGGAAGACTTAACCAGTTCTTCTGAAGAGACTCAAAATGAACTGGAAAGAGTTCCGGGGGATGCTCAGAGAAACAATTTTGAAGTTGCGAGCGACGCGTTTGACGATGACTTCTCCTTGCAAAAATGTAACCTTAAAAATCGCGTCGATGTTTTGCAGAGTGACAAGATCTGTGATTTTGAGATGGCTGAGGAGTTTGACCCATTGGTACAACCACCCACTAGTCCATTATCAAATATTAATACTCAAATGTTTAAGTCAAATGAGCATCCTCCTGGATCAACTGTAACCAGAGCGACCTTCTCTCCATCGTCTCCTACTGATAAAAAACCCCAAATTCCAGCGCTATTCAGTGGGTTGAGAGTTCTCCGAAAGGGGGTGGTGGGACCAGACCATGACAGGGTTTCTCAGTTTACGGCTGTCTCAGAGAACAACAAAACACAAGGAACATTTCTGGACCAGATTTCTCAGCTCCTAAGCCGAGAAGAAGGAGAGACGAAGCAAAACGAACTGAACGAGATCGAGACGAGGTCCAGTGCTGATGCGGTGTTTGATGCGTTCAAGTCGTTTTTCACTCCCAAACCTCTGAAGATCGACTCCTCGGAGAAGGTGGACCTGGAAGCTGTGCGCAGAAGGATCCGGAGCGAGAGAGAGCAGCTGAAAACGTTTTTTGAGAAAACTGATGTCAGTACAGAGGAGGAGACCAATGGCAAAGTATGAAAGAAGAAATTACACATGGTTTGATTGGTTAAGTCAGTGTCTCCCAAAGTGGGGTCCGCGGCCCCCTGGTGGGCCGCGAGGGTACTGCAGGGGGGCCGCGGGAGGTCATAAAAAAAATAAAAAAAATAATATTATTATTTAATGTTAAATTTATAATGTTTTGTTTGTAATATTAAAATATTTGTGTTCATTATTTGACTTGAATAATCCACTGTAATCATTTTTGTATTACAATGTTTGTAGCAGAGGCTATTTCCCCAAAATAAAATAACCAGAAGAGCCTATTCTTAATGTTGTCTTCTTGGTTATTATTTTGGGGGGGCCACATAGACCCGACAGATTTTTAAGGGGGCCTCGGTGTTACTGAGTTTGGGAATGGCTGGGTTAAGTGATATGTTCTGAAGCCAACAATAGCTTGTGTTCATGCTCTCTCTCTGGTCTCTCTCTGGTCTCTCTCTGGTCTCTCTCTCTGGTCTCTCCGTCTGGTCTCTCTCTCTGGTCTCTCCGTCTGGTCTCTCTCTGGTCTCTCTCTGGTCTGTCTCTCTGGTCTCTCTCTGGTCTGTCTCTCTGGTCTCTCACTGGTCTCTTTATAGTCTTTCTCTGGTTTCTCTCTTGTCTCTCACTTGTTTTTCTCGCTGGTTTCTCTCGTCTCTGATCTCTCTCTGGCCTCACTTTCTGGTCTCTCTCTGGTCTCTCTTTCTCGTCTCTCTCTGGTCTCTCTCTGATCTCACTTTTTGGTCTCTCTCTGGCCTTACTTTCTGGTCTCACTCTCTGGTCTCTCTTTTTGGTCTCTCTCTTATCTCTCTCTGGCCTCACTCTCTGGTCTCTCTCTCTGGTCTCTCTTTCTGGTCTATTTCTTTCTGGTCTCTCTCTGGTCAGTCTCTTTATGAATTTAATCATTATCAACCATAATCAGGCTCCGCAAAAACAACCCTCTGGTGGTAGAACTGTGATTACGCGATTGAATATTACTTGGTGAGAGAATTTTCAATCTTTTATGTTTATACATTAATTTTAAATTGACAAAATTATTTAACTTCCAACAACACAAAGAGCCAGAGTGAATAGTCTCAAGATGATATTCAAGAGCCTAAAAGAATGCATGTTTTCGTCTTGTATTTATTCTTAGTGTTTGTGTTTGTGTGTGTGAGCGTGCATGTGTACCCGCGTGTGTTCGTGTGTGCGTGGATGTGTGTGTGTTTGTGTGTGCATGTGTGCGTGTGTGTAGCCACTTTTAAGGTTTTTGTCTTTGTGTTTTGGTTCACAGTCTGACGATGCAGAGGACAAGACTCCTGGTCGGCTCCAGGCTGTGTGGCCCCCGCTGCAAGAAGAGGAGAAAGTGGGCCTGAAGTACACAGAAGCAGGTACATTACAGATGTGCAACGTATAATTATTGTTCTCGAAAGTTTCCACACCCAGAGATATGGCAGAGTGTATCAATGAGAACACAAACACTTGACTCTGCACTCATTGCCATTGTGGTTGTTTGAAGCCTTTTATTATTGAATCAGCATTAAAAGGACAACACAATCTTCTCTTCTGTCCCCGATCAGAAGTCTCCATCCCCAGCTCTCAGTAGCATCGATGACAGGAGTCTTTTGTGGTAGTTGTGGATGAGGTTCTTCATCTTTTCTGCTCTCTCTCTCTCTCTGCTCTCAATCTGGTCTCTCTTTCTGGTCTCTCTCGAGTCTCTCTCTGGTCTCTCACAAGCGTCCAATTCCTGTAATTTCCTGGGCTACCTTACCAGAACTGCACATTTTGTAATTGTCAAACGGTTTCTGAGCTAGAGGAGTTAACTTTTCAATCTAACTCAAGAGGAGCCAGAGCAAATTGAAGCCAAACTTTATTGGGCCTCCTTAAGCATTGTCCATCTATAAACAGTCTATGCTTCTAGTTCTGTATAAAGATAGATCCATGATAAAGATCTGCCATTGCACAGTTCCAGGTCTGTGTTTGAAGTTGTGAGCCGGACCTAAGGCACACAGGATACATGAACGACTGTTTGCTCTCTGTTTCCTTGTGATGATTGCAGTCATTTCGCATTGAGCTTAAACAAACATGAGCCGCCCTCTTCAGCTCGTCTGGTGTCAAACAGCTGCACAACAGGACAGAGGCGTGTCATTAAATATCCTGTCATTAAAGTTGAACTATGTAAGTTTTCTGGTGCCACGTAACTCAGCAAAGTAATGGGAAATAAACCCACTGACATCTAGAACTTGGTTGAAGTTGGTTACAGTGTGATTGCAAATGTATTTGGCATCACCTGTATGCGGCATCAGAACTGTCTATTATAACAACATTGTGGGGATGAGGAAACACTCTCCTCATTCATACGATTGGAGAGGAGCGCTCCCTTGTGTCAGAAACACGCATGCACAGATTCAGATGTTCCAGTGTTGTTTATTATATTAGAATTTATTTTTCTTATTTATTGATTTGACAGACACAATGCATTCCTACATAGTTACAGATACAACACATATGAGTTATGAGGGTCTCCTGCCCTTCACACACACACACACACACATATTAATTACAAAAGGGTATGAAATACTGTCTTATCCTCTCAAACGGAGCTTTCATTCCTGTGTTTGAAATGTTTAAAATGGCGTCTGTGTGTTGTCAGAGCACCAGGCTTCACTGTTGCAGCTGAAGAGACAGTGCAACGAGGATCTGGAGAAGTTACAGGTGAGTTACGTTACTGCAGCCACTTGGTGCAGAGAGAACCAATTTTTACTTCATAACTCTAAATTCTGTCTCTTTTTATAAACTATAAAGAATAAATGATTAGAAAAAAGAACAAGAACAAGGAGTTTTCATATTCTCTCCTGCTAAAACCTGTATGTAATGATATTAGGCCAGGCATGTTCAAACTGAGGCCTGGGGCCAATTGTGGCCCTCCGTGTCAGGTTCTGTGGCCCTCTGCTTTGCTAGCACAAAGTCCTCTATTAAATAAAAAAAAAGCATAAATTCTATGTCATCCAGCTAACTTAATCTCCATCAACACAGATATTCTGTAACTCACTGTAAAGCTCAGAACCTCTTCAGTTCTGTCAGTTCTGTATGACTCTCATGGAAATAACTATATTTTTTACATTCAGCCAACTTCAGCTCCTTCAAATCATTATGGACCTGTCACACTGCATTTTAAGCTCAGAACAGCTTGGATTCGGTCCATTTTACAAAATTTTACAGAATCAGAATAATTTTTTAGTAACAGGAAGTCACAGACTAGGAAATTGCTTTGGCTCGGTGCAACAGTCAAAGAAGAGAGGTAAAGAATAGATTAAGGCATAATGAAAATAAGCATAAACTTCTAAAGTGTAAAAATTGAATTAAGATATATGATATGAAATAGATCGCGGATACAAGCGGTCGAAATGAGCTTCTTCCGCAGAGTGGCTGGGCGCTCCCTTAGAGATAGGGTGAGGAGCTCAGTCACACGGGAGGAGCTCGGAGTAGAGCCGCTGCTACTCCACGTCGAGAGGAACCAGTTAAGGTGGCTCAGGCATCTGTTCCGGATGCCTCCTAGACGCCTCCCTGGGGAGGTGTTCCGGGCACGTCCCACCGGGAGGAGGCCCCGGGGAAGACCCAGGACACGCTGGAGGGACTATGTCTCTCAGCTGGCCTGGGAACGCCTTGGGGTCCCCCCGGACGGGCTAGAGGAAGTGTGCGTGGATAGGGAAGTCTGGGCGTCTCTGCTTAGACTGCTGCCCCCGCAACCCGGCAACGGATGAAGCGGAAGAAAACGGACGGACAGACGGACGGATATGAAATAAAATACACAAGTGCACCCTAGTCTCATACTCTGGTCTCGCCCTCTGGTTTCACCCTCTGGTCTCAGCCTGTGGTCTCACCCTCTGGTCTCACCCTCTGGTCTCACCCTCTGGTCTCACCCTCTGGTCTCACCCTCTGGTCTCACCCTCTGGTCTCACCCTGTGGTCTCACCCTCTGGTCTCACCCTCTGGTCTCACCCTGTGGTCTCACCCTCTGGTCTCACTGTCTGATCTCACCCTGTGGTCTCTGCCTGTGGTCTCACCCTCTGGTCTCACCCTGTGGTCTGTGCCTGTGGTCTCACCCTGTGGTCTCACCCTGTGGTCTCTGCCTGTGGTCTCACCCTGTGGTCTCACCCTGTGGTCTCTGCCTGTGGTCTCACCCTGTGGTCTCACCCTGTGGTCTCTGCCTGTGGTCTCACCCTGTGGTCTCACCCTGTGGTCTCTGCCTGTGGTCTCACCCTGTGGTCTCACCCTGTGGTCTCACCTTGTGGTCTCTGCCTGTGGTCTCACCCTGTGGTCTCACCCTGTGCTCTCCCCCTCTGCTCTCACCTTCTGGTTTCACCCTCTGTCTCACCCTCTGTCTCACCCTCTGGTGGTCTCACCCTCAGGAGGACTATGCAGAGGAGCTGAGCAGACTGAAGGAGGAGAGCGATGACTGCGTGAGCCGCCTCCAGTTCACCATCATCGAGCTGCAGTCTCGCCTCTCCCAGTCTGTGTCTCGTCGCCACGGTGAGGTCCGGGATGCATCCGTATCCACAAGCGACGAAACCAAAACTTTCAGGAATGCTGGCATCCAGACAGACTGCGAGCTCATGAAGCCGAGCCACAATGAAGATGGAGGACATGACTCAGACTTAAGGTTCATTAGCGAGAACTGGTCCGAGCAGAACAATAACCCGGGATTTTCGGATCACAGAAGCTTCACTTGTCAAACGCATCCAATCATTGATCCTGTCTCTCGGGTTTCACAATGTCATCACTCAAATGTCCCTCCTCCACCTCCCGGGCCTCCCCCACCTCCTCCCCCATTGCCGGAGTCAGGCTTCTGTCCTCTGTCTCTTTCACTGGACACAGCTCCCAGAAAACCCTTCGTAGAACCGTCACGACCCATGAAGCCGCTGTACTGGGCCAGAATCCAACTACAGCAGAACAAGTAAGAAAATAGCCTTCATCTTTAATTTTGTTTATTTGTGTATTTGTCCATGTGTAAAGATCAAATTAATCAAACAGTTCAAACACAGGAAATACAATAATAACAAACGCAAAGGTCCATAGGGAGCAGGATGACCAATGTCTAGAAATGTTAATATAAAGTCCTAGATCCTCACTGTCCTAAGACACTCCTGCATCAGCAAAGAACCACTCAGAAACCCAATGGAAAGAAGTGAGAGAGGGAAAATATTGAGAGAGGGATTTGCCAGGCTGTAGATCCAGGACTGAGGCTGTAGATCCAGGACTGATGCTGTAGATCCAGGACTGATGCTGTAGATCCATGACTGAGACTGAAGATCTAGGACTGAGGCTGTAGATCCAGGACTGAGGCTGTAGATCCAGGACTGATGCTGTAGATCCAGGACTGAGGCTGTAGATCCAGGACTGAGGCTGTAGATCCAGGACTGAGGCTGTAGATCCAGGATTGAGGCTGTAGGACCAGGACTGAGGCTGTGTGTAGATCCATGACTGAGGCTGTAGATCCAGGACTGAGGCTGTAGGACCAGGACTGAGGCTGTGTGTAGATCCATGACTGAGGCTGTAGATCCAGGACTGAGGCTGTAGATCCAGGACTGATGCTGTAGATCCAGAATATTCAGAAAATACCATGACTATTTACTAGCTTATGTGAATTTGTGGATTGAAAATGTCAACAGGTTTTTTTTTTTTTTTACAGTGAACAAACCGTTTGGAGCAGTTTGGAGGAAGCCAAGATCAACACATGTGATTTTGAAGATCTGTTCTGTAAAACTGCCACACAGACGAAGAGGAAGCCGCTCTCAGAGGTCTACGGGAGGAAGACCAAGACCAAAAAGGTTTCTGCTTTTACTTCTGTAGCTAACTCCACAAATACAATATTTCTTTTTGTAACATGCCTCACAGAATTGTTGATCCTCCAACAGAAAATTAGATGATCAATCAATAACAGCTTCTTTGACCCTAGTCCCGCCCCCTCTCTCTGGTCTCTCTGTCTCTGGTCTCTCTCTTGCTGGTCTCTCTCGTTTCTCTATCTGGTTTCTTTCTGTCCCCTGAAAAAGAGATTCTGAAATCTCAGTCAGACTTTCCTAGTTAATTAAAAGTCCATAAAAGTAATAAATACAACAATAAAAGAGTCATAAGACAACGGGGTAACAATATCCATATCTAACTAAGTATTTTTGCGATTGTGAGTGGTTCACTTAAAGCCTGCAGGTCTGAGGCAACCACAAGAGGGAGCTAGTGTTGTGGATCTATTTTATTTGCTTTTGCTCATCATCAAGTCTTTATTTTGGTACCAACCAACAGAAGTAAAGCAGACTCACAACTGGTCATTGACGATACTCAACCAGACTACGTTATATTTCTGTTTGTTTCTATTAGTCCACCATCCCAACCAACCAGTTCTCATCCCAAAGCTGCATGTAGTTACTCACATGGCTCTTCCTTATGTAACTTCTTCATCAACTATTTAGATGAAGACCCCAGCTGAAAATGCAAGCTGGTGGAAGATGGAGTGTTTTGCAAATACTGTACATTCTAAATACATACTGACTGTTACAGGATCCTATGTCTTGCTCATGAACAAAAACAAAAGTATCAGCCCAACCTAACGCTCCAAACAGCAGCTGGTCCTGGTGATCCTATGGTCAAATCCTGTTTATTTGTTTATATATGACGTCAAGAACCGTGAGAGCCGCTCTTTGTTTTGCCTCGTCGCTAATGGCTGTCTAATGGTGATGGCCGGTTGTCATAGTGACCGTGGTTTGTTGATTTCAGATTGTGAAGCTGCTGGACCAGAAGCGCTCTCAGGCCGTGGGCATCCTGATCTCCAGTCTGCACCTGGACATGAAGGACATAGAGCGCGGTGAGAACAAAGCACAGGTCAAACACAAAAGCAGTGAGTCAGCGATAAAGGGTCAAAGACACAGAGACAGTGTGAACGTGGTCAGGCTTTATTCATTCAATATGTGCAAAGTGTTGAGTTGTGACACACACAAAAATACCAAATATCCAACTATTAGTTTTCTTCCGCTTCATCCGTTGTCTGGCGCAGCAGTCAAAACAGAGACCAAATATGGCAGGGGGAAACTACTGCTGATTTATTCAGCAGATTTATTATCATTAATAATAATGATTAAAATAATAATAGTAATAATGATAATGATAATGATAACAATATAATAATACAAAAAATAATGCCTCAGTTTTGTGCAGCACTTTTCTGGATGCTCAAAGACACTTTACTTCCCTCCTCACACAGTGGTGATATACTACTATTGTAGCCACAGCTGCCCTGGGGCACACTGACAGAAGCGAGGCAATCAATCTGTGCCATCGGCCCCTCCCATCACCACCAACCATTCACTCTTCCACCTCTTCGTCAGCAGTTCTGACCTCTATGCCTTTTCCTCAGTCACTCTGACCTATTTGCCTCCTCCTCTTCCTCAGCTCCTCTGACCTCTGTGCCTCTTCCTACTCCTCTTCCTCAGATGATCTGACCTCTGTGCCTCTTCCTCCTCTTTCTCAGCTCCTCTGAGTCTCTTCCTCCTCTTCCTCAGCTGTTCTAACCGCTGTCCCTCTTCCTCTGCTGCTCTGACCTCTGTTCCTCTTCCTCCTCCTCTTCCTCAGCTGCTCTGACCTGTTCCTCTTCCTCCTCTTCCTCAGCTGCTCTGACCTGTTCCTCCTCCTTATCCTCATCTTCCTCAGCTGTTCTAACCTCTGTCCCTCTTCCTCCTCTTCCTCAGCTGTTCTGACTGTGGATCCCTCAGTGGTGGACGTTGACACCATCGAAGCCCTCTATGAGAACGTAAGTCATATATAAAAAAACGTCATATATTTGTGTTCGGTTCTAAGTGTTTGTTTCCATGGAGATAGTTCAACTCTGTTTTGTTCTTTCGTTTCCAGAAAGCTCAACCCGACGAACTTGGAAAAATCAAGCAACACTACGAGACGAGCAACGAGGAGGATGTGAAACTACTGGACAAACCTGAGCAGTCAGTGTCTGAACATGTCTTTTGCTATTTATTCATTTGTTTTGAATCATTTTATTTATTTTATTTATATTATTTATTTTATTTATTTTATTTATTTTATTTATTTTATTTATTTTATTTATTTTATTTATTTTATTTATTTTATTTATTTTATTTATTTTATGTATTTTATTTATTTTATTTATTTTATTTCTCTGATTTCTCTCTATTTATTTTATTTTAAAACTTTCTGTATTTTGTTAATAATATTGTAATTTATTATTTATTATTTGTATTTTGATTTAATTTATTTTTTTAATTTGACTTTCTTTGTGTGTTTTATTTTTTTTGTTTTTATGTATTCATGTATTTATGTATTCATGTATTTATGTATATATTTTTATTTTTAGTTATTATCTTTTATTCATCCATTTCTATCTTTTTATATTATATGTTCCTTATTTCATTCAAAGTATTTTTTTTATTACATTGTTTATGTATTTATTTATTCCATTCAATTTAATTAATTATTATTTCTGTATATTGTTTTATTTGAACATGTCTTGACTTTAACCCCTTCTGTCTCTCTCTCAGGTTCCTGTACGAGTTGTCCCAGATTTCAGATTTTGCGGGTCGAGCTCAGTGCATTATTTTCCAGTCTTCGTTTCTCGACGGAATCGTCTCCATTCGACACAAACTGAGGACAGTTTCTTCTGTGTGTGAGGTACAAACCTTTAGAATCTATTTCAGTTGTTTTTGTGCTGTTTATCTGTGGTTCATTATTTTACAGAATCAATTCAAATCCTTCACACACATCATACACAACAACTGTTCTTCTTCTTAAGCCCTGTTTCCACCAGCCCTACCCTACTCTACACTTTACACTACTCTATACTCTACCCTACCCTACTCTACTCTACTGTACTCTACTCTACCCTACTCTACTCGACACTACCCTACCCTACTCTACTCTACTGTACTCTATGCTCTACTCTACCCTACTCTACACTACTGTACTCTATACTCTACCCTACCCTACTCTACACTATTATACTCTATACTCTACTCTACCCTACTCTTCACTACTGTACTCTACTCTACTGTACTCTATACTCTACCCTACTCTACTCTTTACTTTACACTACTGTACTCTATAATCTACCCTACCCTTCTCTACTCTACTGTACTCTATACTCTACCCTACCCTACTCTACTCTACTGTACTCTATAATCTACCCTACCCTTCTCTACTCTACTGTACTCTATACTCTACCCTACCCTACTCTACTCTACTGTACTCTGTACTCTACCCTACCCTTTTCTACTCATAACTCTACCCTACCCTACTCTACTCTAATGTACTCTATACTCGACACTACCCTACCCTACTCTACAGTTCTCTATACTCTACCCTACCCGACTCTACTGTACTCTACACTACTCTACTCTACTCTACGCTACTCAACCCTACTCTACTCTACTCTACCCTACCCTACGCTACCCTACTCTCGTTCTACTTTTCTCTACCGTATTCAACCCTACTCTACTCCATGCTACTCTACTCTACTCAGCTCTACTCAGCTCCACTCTAGTGTATTCTACTCTACTATACCACACTTTCTATTCTTGATAGAAATTCCTTGGTAAACATGGCTTCCATCAGCACTGACCAATCACTGTCATTAGGGTTAGGGTTAGTAGTTATTTTAGTACCGGCTCGGCCTGGATAAAATCAGGGGAAACGTTGCAAAGTCCTCCGTGACGACCGCTGTTGTGATTTATGACGATGCAAAAATAAATTGAATTGAATAGAAGTGTTGCTTCCTGCGGTCTCCAGGAGCTGTCGCAGCGGCAGAGTGTGAAGCAGGTCATGGGGCTGGTCTTAGCTCTGGGGAACCACATGAACGGAGGCAGCAGGACCAGAGGGCAGGCTGACGGCTTTGGACTGGACATCCTCCCTAAGCTCAAGGACGTGAAGAGCAGGGTAACTGTGTGGGTGTGTGTGTGTCTATGTGTGTTTGTGTGTGTGTGTGTGTGTGCGTGTGTGTGAGTGTACAGCAATAACACATATTTGTGTTTCTCCTTGGATCAGGACAATCGCATCAACTTGGGAGATTACCTGGTGTCGTACTATCTACAAAATGTGGACAAGGTACAGAGACTGACACTTTTTATTTAAACATACCTTGAGTTGGGTTTAGCTCCATCCATGCTAACTTCAGGAACTTCTTGCACAAACACGTCCCTCGCCTCTTCTGTCTAAAAGCTCCTTTCTCAAACCTAAAGACAAATCCTTACATTTACAAATGTTACGACCACAATCTCAAATTGCCTCCACACACTGCTTCAGCCCTTGAGTAAGTTAATTCAGCTCTAAAGCCCATACCAACTACACACTACATCCTGGAACAATATGAAATCTCTTTGCTTCCATCAATAGACGTGGATTAGAGTGGATCCCTCCCTCAGTATGGGCCTTCTTGAGGTTTCTCGCTCTTTTACCACTGTTTATTTTTTGAGTGGTTCCTTGCAGATGCAGGAGGGTCAAAGGACAGAGATGATCCGGGACAATGGTCGTCCCACTGTCTATGGACCAATGGCTTCTATGTGTTTGATTCGTTGTTGGCGAATTGACAACTTTGTAAAGTTCTCTGAGACGACTGCAGTTATGTTTCCGGGCGATACACAAATACATTGAATTGAATAAAAGGGGCGGAGTTTGTGCCAGAAGTTCCTGAACATTGCTGTCGTTCTCTTTTGGGCCCTCGTTCCTCACAGTTTGTGTCTCTGCAGAACGCTGGGACGGACAGGAGCGTGTTCCCTCTGCCAGAACCTCAGGACGTCTTCTTAGCAGCTCAGGTCAAGTTTGAGGAGCTCCACAAAGACCTGAGGCAGCTGTCCCACGACCTCACACGTATGTACCAGAGACTGTGTATGAGGAGTGGGCTGACTGAGTGTGACATCACCGTAGTGTTATTCTCAATGCGGAGGAGGACGATTTGAACATGTGACGTGGTATCAACAAGGGACAGTTCAAACAATATAATATAATGAATTGTAACTAAAAAAGGAATAGTAAGAAACAGTGATTATTTTTGCCTATCTCATTCCACACCATCGGTTTAACCAGCTTATTTGTTTTGTAAACCATATTTATCATCAAACATACAAAAACTACCTTTTCTTTTTCTTTAAATATTTTGAACTTAAGATTTTTTTGAAGAAGCATGAGATACTTTGGGATTTGTTTGTGTATTACTCTATAAAGAATCTCTAACATTTAAACTTCTACAATATCTTTATTGATGTATATAAATATATTTGAGCTTTCTCTCGCTGCGTGGCTGTCTGCTGGAGAGCGGAGGCACACGCTCAGACGTCCCTGGCTCCAGTCTTAATCCTGAGTCCATCAGATCTGCTCTCTGCATCACTGTGGCCTCATGCTCCTGACGCCAACACAAAGAACACAACTTACCTTTTGTGCAATCACCCGTCTGTGATCTGTGCCCTGCTCATGGGCACGCTGGCTCCAGTGTGGCCTGGGAGATACTCTGGCTCTCAGCAGAAAAACTAGTGGAGTTAATCTTCTGAATGCTCTTTGCTTCATGCTTTCTATTTTCCAACACATTGTTTATGTTTGCATCGACCCTAAAGCTGGGGTACGTAACGTTTAACCAACAGACGTTTAACCCCCCATGAATGACTTGAAATCTATAAAAGTAGTTCCTCTTTCAGCTAATCTAAAGAGGCCTCTGTCACATCTGTGGATCTGCATTTTCAGACAGAGACCAGAGAGAGAGAGACCAGAGAGAAAGACCAGAGAGAGAGAGACTAATGAGACCAGAGAAAGAGAGGGAGGCCAATGAGACCAGAGAGAGAGAGACCAGAGAGAAAGACCAGAGAGTGAGAGACTAATGAGACCAGAAAAAGAGAGAGAGGCCAATGAGACCAGAGAGAGAGAAAAAAACAGAGAGAAACCAGAGAAACTCGAGACACCACAGAGACCAAAGAGAGAGGGACCAGAGGGGCCTCTGTGTCATGTTGTGTGGCCCTCTGCTGCTAACGGAAAATAATCTTTGAGATCATAAACACAAGTTCACAGTGTCATCCATCCAACTTCAGCTCTGCCAATATATGCTGCTATACCTCGATGGAAATCTCTAGAATTGACTTTATTTGTATAAACAAATAAACACATTTCTTTTTGATTTGTGAGATTGTAAACATTTGACATCCAGCCAACTTCAGCTTTGTCCAATGTCAATCCTTATGGACGTGTCATACCTCATTTTAAAGCTCAGCCTGAATCCAGTCAAAACAGTGTTACTGTCTGGCTCGTCGGCCCCTGGACTAGTCTGGTTTAAGAAAAGTGGCCCTCTTACAAAAAAGTTTGGACACCCCTGTTTACTGCGGATCCATGGCCCTCATCACTTTTACATAAACTGTTATTGTCACAAAGAGCCGACAAAAGACTGTGCGGGCAGCTCTTGTGCGATCTTATCTTATCTGTGTGTTTGTGTGTCTGTGTGTTTGTGTGTGTGTCTTTGTGTATGTGTGTGTATGTGTATTATGGCTGCCTGATGAGACGTGGCTCCTATGGTCCAGATAGCATGGCAGGTTGAGAGTCTCTCCGGTTTTCTTGGAAAATATGGATGTTCCACTTTTTGCCTAAAAAAACATCCAACACAAATTGATAATGTAATCTTAAAGGGGACGTGACCAACATTATTGGTAGTGCAACAGTATGATGTCATTGTACCAATATGACGTCACACGGAGTAGTTGTCTGACTTTTAAACAAAAACTAGAGAGATCAAAGAGAGACCAGAGAGAGAGAGAGAGAGAGACCAGAGAGAGAAAGACCAGAGAGAGAAAGACCAGAGAGAGAGAGAGAGACCAGAGAGAGAGAGAGACCAGAGAGAGAAAGACCAGAGAGATAGAGAGAGACCAGAGAGAGAGAGAGAGAGAGAGACCAGAGAGAGAAAGACCAGAGAGAGAGAGAGACCAGAGAGAGAGAGACCAGAGAGAGAGAGAGAGAGAGAGACCAGAGAGAGAGAGACCAGAGAGAGAGAGACCAGAGAGAGAGAGAGAGAGAGACCAGAGAGAGAGAGAGAGAGAGAGACCAGAGAGAGAGAGAGAGAGAGACCAGAGAGAGAGAGAGAGAGACCAGAGAGAGAGACCAGAGAGAGAGACCAGAGAGAGAGAGACACCAGAGACAAACCACTATTACATCACACTCAGATTACTTTTTTCTGCCTTTAAAACAAAAGTATTTCCCATAACGGTGATTTCTAAAGTATGAATTAGAAGAAAGAAAAAAAGTCATTATATTCTTTATCTGGTGGCAGCATAAGGAACTACATCCTTATACATTTTCTACATAAGATACAGTATTACTTGACATTCAAAAATATGAAATAATAATAAATAAATAATGGTTTATAATAATAATAAACCACCATAAATAATACATAATATTTCTTATTTAAATACAAGTCCATTTCTGAGCTGATACTGTAAGACTTTGGGCAGCTGTGGCTTGGATTGCCTCAATATTTGACATTTTGCATTGTCTAGAAGTAATGTTGGTCTGTTTCTGTTAATATTTTGCAGAATGTGAGAAAAACATCCAAAACGTGTGCAGTAACTCACCAGAGGAGCATCTGCAGCCGTTCAAAGACAAGATGGAGGCCTTTGTTCTCAGCGGTGAGTTTCAGTACGATATACACATTCTACACATACAGCCCATGTCACTGTCATCTTTCCTCATTTTACAGTAATAACTTTAAGCTTTTCCCAATTTGATCAGAAGAAGACGTCAAAAAACTGTCATTTCATTTCTTGATTTTGCCAACAACATTGCAGAGAATCTAATAGTTTGAACACAGGAACAGCAATGATAACAAACATGGAGGAGCCCTCGGTCCACAGGGAGAGGGATGACCAAAAATGTCCAGAAATGTTCATAAATGTGCAGAATTGCCTGGATCAACACTGCCCTTAGACCCTCCTGAATCGGCCCATAATCAGATATACTGTATATAGATCCAGGACTGAGGCACAGACTCAGCACAGCCATTTTGACCATTACCAACTAATTCCTATGTTTTCTGTGATTTCATAGCAAGGAAAGAGCACGGGGAAGCCTCCTATCAGCTGTTGACAATTGAGAAAAGGTATGACATTTGTTACTTTTTTGCACATTGTTGTTTCAAGATATGGTATATATATGTTGAAACAAACAACAGAAACTACAATACTAACCAGCTGGCTCAATGCAGCTCAATAGGGAAGGGCTAATGGAATCACTAAGGCTCACAATGCATCTCTCCTTCTGGCTTATGCTTATTGTAGACTGTCCCTGTAAAAATAAAAACCATGCCATACCATACATCTAAAAGTAAACTCCCCTAGCTCAGTAACTGTTTGTGTCACACTCACCATTTTGGGCATCAATCTGTGGTTTTGCGCTCTCTGCGATCCTGGTGTTTTTATTGTTTTGGTAAACCGATATGAGCCATAAAAGGATTGACCAATCAGAGGGGGGAGAACTCCAGCTTAAACTTAGCAACTGCCTTAGCAACACTAAGACAGTTAGGCCTATGGTTATGACCCTGTTATGGCACAAATCTTATGCTGCAGAAGAAGTGCCCCTATAAGGAGATTGGCTCCAGCGAGCTCGACATGAATCATCGGATGTTTTTAACTTGCCTGAGTACCAAACATTCAAACATGAAACAAAATACAATACCAGTACAAATACTATCACTAGTTCTCACGTTTATGCATTTTTGGCCTCTGTCACGGGCCTCTGTCCAAACTGAAAAATGAAAAGTGTCCAAAGAAACCAGAGAGAGACCGAAGAGGCCACAGAGAGAGACTAAGAGAGAGACCACAGAGAAAATCCAGAAAGAAAAACACCAGACCAGATAGAGACCAGATAGAGACCAGATAGAGACCAGATAGAGACCAGAGAGAGAACAGAGAGGCTAGACAGACCAGAGAGACCACAGAGAAAGACCGGAGAAAGAGAACAGAGAACGGCCAGAAACAGCGAGACCAGAAAATATGTTTTTTCACACCAGAGTTTTAAACCAGCATAAAATGTTCCACAAGAATCATTGCATTGGACTTTTAACTGACTTGACGTCAGAAAAGAAAGCAACTTTGATGTTAATTTCATATTTTTGCTCAGCTTTCAGGATCTGGTGGCCTACTTTGGTTTACAGGCCAAAGCAGGGGACAAAGAGGTAACCCCCGGATACTTCTTCATGCTTTGGTTCGAGTTTTGTTCTGACTTTAAAGTGAGATGGAAGCGAGAGAGCAAGAACGTCTCCAAAGAGCGGTAAGAACTCATCCCTCTGGTGAATGACTCTATCTATGCCAAATGTGACATGTGCATTTCTCCTTGATCTTATCTTATCTTAGATGAAGATATCTTTACTTTATTCATCACATGACAAGCTTACCATGAATGTATGATATTATGTGGAGGCTGCTGCTGCTCAAACCCGTCTCCACATGGACTAAAGGCCACTCCATACGAGCTGTAAGGAGATTTCCCATAGACCTCAGTGTTCACATCATACAGAACTACAGCTTTCACAAAGGAGGACTTTGTGGAGATTATAAGTGTCTCATGTCATCCTAAATTTCTTTTCTTTCAAAATCCATTGGTTTTCTATAAATCCACACTTGTGCGGTAAACTCGGCTTGCTCTTGCTCCGCTCTGATCAGCGGTGCTCTGATTGGTGACTGATAACTATAACACTGAAAGTTATCTGTTTGGTAACGCCTCCGGCAAAGTGAAAAGAAACCTGTGATTTAATATGAGGTTTGAACGGTTATAAACATTGGTAGATTGTGTTAGAATCCACACTGACAGTGGGTTTAAGCTATTGTGACAAAAATGCAATGTCGGAATTTTTGCATTGTTTTTTATTATGATTGTTTGTTTTAGGTTAAAGGAGGCGCAGCTGTCAGTGAAGAGGATCACGGGAGAAAAGAAAGTGGAGACCAGAAAGACCAACGCCAACAGCCTGGTACCAGTGAACACAGCACCGTTCAGTCTCTGAGTCTGCTCACTATCATTTTGCTAAAGCTGATGTGTTTTGTCCAAACAGAAAGAACGACTGCGTCAAAAGGAGGCCACTCTGTCTTCAACTTAAGAAGAAAAATCAAATAAAAAAAAACGTTTGGACTCAACACCAGATATAACAACTGTATGTTACAGTGATACGCCCTGTTTCCATTAGCCCTACTGTGGATCAGTCTACTCTGTTTGGTACCCTAGCCTAGCATCCTACCCAAAACAAACCAGTATCCATGAAAATTCCTTGGCAACCATGGCTTTCTGCAGCACTCTGACCAATCAGCTCAGACAGAGTACCAGCTTGGCCTGGATTGAACCAGGGCCAAGAGGGCCAAAGAAGGACATGGTACCAGTCCTGTGGAAACTGGATCAGGGTAGAGTAGAATAGAATAGAATAGAGTAGAGCTGGTGGAAAAAAGGCTATAAACAATGTTTTAGCGTTAGACATTTTGCACTTTTTTATTGTGATTCTATATCCTGCAGATGCCAAAACTGTATATATTGATAATGAATTAAATAAAGAGTATGATAGAAGTTGGTATTTTTATTTCAAGAGGTAATAATATCACTGTATTTGTGGACGATAGACACAGTACAACAGTCAACAGATGACAGTATATTTTGGAACTGTACAAGAAATTAAATATGGTCTAAACCTCTTCCCAGGCGAATCTGATGTGAGAGATGCATCATTCACTTAATTAATGTTTATTCCCAGGACTGGTCCAGAAGGCCACATAACATGAGTCTGGGGGCCATACAAAAATCACAGAAGGGCTGCATTTGGCTGCGGACCTCAGTTTGGAGATGCCTGATATAGACAGAAACATTGGTCTCCATTGAGTAGAGACGCGTCATTTCCACTCATCCTTGTCATGGTGAAGTCTCTAAACAGTTGGACGTATTCTGTCCGAGGCAAGCAGTGATCAGAAATTGGATCTGGAGGCATCTTACGTGCTTGTCCCACCTGTTTACACCGTGCGTAAAAGTGGACGTCAACTTTACTTCCACAGAGCAGATGCCTGAGCATGCGCCTGTAGTTCAGTCTGCAGTGGTCCCACAGCGGCACTGCTTGACGCGCTGTACCCTCTTGTGCCGCGTGTTAGGGGTCTGTCCCGGGCAGAACAGGGTGTAGGACACGGTGCTGAAGGTCCTGGGTCTACAGGCCGAGCAGGACTGGAAGGCGCCCCCGTCTTGAGGCTCGAGTCTGGGGATGTAGAAGGAGCTGCACTGGCCGTAGCAGAAGCGGTTGATGACGGTGCGGGACACGCAGCCCTCCTCCCGCAGCGTCTGCTTCAGCGGCTGTGACTTGCACCAGTCCGAGCGCAGGTACCGGCGCTCCGTGACGTACAGCGCCTCTCGACTGGACTCCAGCACGTCATCCGCGGTACTGGCCACAGCTGCCGTGCGCGACAGTCCAGTGATGGAGGGCAGGAGACAGCCCTCAGAGTCCCGTGGAGGAGAAGAGGAGTCCTGGAAGGAGCACGCACTCTTTGTCCCGATGAGCAGAGCCAGAACTATGGCGAAAGTCTTTCTCATCTTTGAAACTGAAAAAGTAACTTCTAAAACGGTTTCACGCATGCGCACTTAGACTCCCGTTAGAATGGGACTCGTGCAAAAATATTGTATTCGCATAATTCCTGCAGTCTCCTCATCCTCCTTTGTTTTATAGCGTGGCTTCAGAATATATCATTACTCTGCTAAAGCCATGTTCTGACCACGCCCCTTCTTATCAAATCATATCTTTTTGTTTCTGGTAAAAACTATGCAATCTCAGACATTGAATGCAGATAAAAGCTTTATTTGATTTATCAGAACAAAGGAGAAAAGCAGAGATTGTCTGGGCCTTTGAGACAAAGTAAAACAAACATAGAAACTGGAATGGAGGCTTTATATCAACACTAGAGCTCTCAGAGCAGTCAATTTGACAGCTTTTAGTTTTGCATGTGTAATTACAGCTCATGAACATTTATGGTCTTCGTAACTGTGACTTTTTCTGTTTCTATCTGTAGTTTGTTTCTTTTTTAAATATATAAAATCATCTTTTATCTTCAAATGTGAAGAGTTCTAGATTCACCTTCCAGAGCAGTCTTTTTGACTTCTCCATTCATTTAAATAAAATATTCAAGTGTAGCCATTTTCGGTCGCTTGGCAACCAACATTCTGGGGCATTTAAAGCCCTTTTTCTCTGAGGTGCTGGACCTGGTGCTGAGCTGAGTCAGGTTGGTTTTCCACCAGAGAAGTGCAAGTGCTAATTACCATAGCACCACACTGCTTATCTGTTAGCACTAGCCTTTGAACATAATGTTTTTTGTATTTTAAGTGATATTCACCAGTTTTATTAATTATTAAACGTGAGTAAACCATATAATTTACTTACTTATAATGAAACTGGTGGAATTCAATTGACTCGAATGGTAGCCGTCTAAATGACTGCTCTGCCAGTCCTAATGTTTACAACCAAATATACTGATTAAATAAAATGTTCAATACTTTCTCCAATACTAGACCTTGTACACATGACATTGCGTTAGTGGTAGGTTTCTTCAAGATAAATATTTTTTTATGTACAAGAAGTTCAAATATCAGTAAAATAACTGATTTATAATGAGGAATTATAGACTGTGCAGGTTCACACAAGGAGAAAGACGAACAAACTCCATTTGAATGTTTAAAATACAACTATATATATATATATCATAATCATACCATAACTTTACAGACTTTGACCACAAGAGTCCGTGCCGAGCCGTGGACTCCTGCCTCTAACAGGTTAGTGGTGGAGTTCCAGTTCCCGACGCGGTTGTTTTAGGTTGCCGTTATAACGACAGTAGAATCGGTTGTGGAGTTCTCCTGGTCCTCGTAGAAGTGTGGGACGGACTTCTTTGCAACAACGTTGTCCAGTCTTTGGCCTTGCAGGTAAGGGTTCACGCTCTGTCAAAAGAGAACAGGCGAGATTACATCATCAGACGAGGTTTACGTCTGTAACTCAATAACTCAAAGACAAATGTACCCTCTTTCTTCTCTTGGGCGCCCCCTTCAGCTTCTGGTACAGGCGCCCCTTATTCTGAAAGGAAAGAACAAGAGCAGCTTTCAGGTCTCAGTCTTCTCTTTTATAGAGCCAATGCAGAGCAGACGCCAGCCTAAAATAGAAGCCTTGTGTATTTTTATTCATGCTGTGAAACGGCTTTTAGTCAAAATACATTGGAAACATATCCTTGGGATTAAATCTGCTCCATTTGCTCCATAACCCTAACCATCAGAAGTATGGCTGGCAGGTTTGACACTGATTCTGGATATTGTTTTATTATTTCAAAAATGATTGCGTCCGACCACATCAGCCATAGAGAAAAATGAGGAGAAACAAATACATCTGAGTTTTGCTGCAGTACATCCCTCCTCTGGCTTGTACTGTCCTCTACTCTCCACCACGCCTCTGCACTCTCTGCACTCTCGGCTGGTGTGTAGGGGCAACAGTGGCTCAGTTGAGCATTGGCCTTTGGGCCCAAAGGTCGTGGGTTCGAGCCCAACATGAGACCTTCTCCATCGACTCCCACTAATGTCTGCTGTCGTTGTGTCTTTGGGCAAGACACTTAACCCACTTTGCCTATAAGGAGCACTGAAGTGATGGGTATGATGCTTATTTGTATATGTATATATGTGTATGCATCAAACTGAAATTTCCCCATTGTGGGACGAATAAAGGACTTTCTAAACTACAGATAGTTATGAAGACCAAAACAGGTACACAAGCTGAGTAATTACTTGCCCAAAACTAAAAGCCGTCAAAGTGACTGCTTTGGGAAAGTACAGGTGTTAATTGTTTTAATTATTAAGTGTTGTGTACCCATTTTGCGAGGGCGGAGTAGTCGTGCTCTGGGTCGAACAGGTGCTGGTGCTTCTGGAAATCTCTGCTGAACTCCGCCGTGTCTGGAGCATTCTCCAAACATCCATCTGCAGCTGAACAAGCACAAAACATTAGTATAATATGTAATAAAGATACCAATAATTGTAATAAAAATATAATTGTTTCTGCGCTGGCCGACTGACCGGTCTTTCCAAGCGGACAGGGGTTGGGAGGCTCCGGATAGCTGTGGTCATCGCTCTGGTCTTTGGGCACGTTGTCGCCGGTCAGCTCAGCCACAATGTTGGGGATGTTTCCAAAAGGCCCGAGATGCTGCAGACCCTCGTGTGCTCCCCCTGGTGGTCAAAGGATGCAACACAGCTCACGAGTCAGCATGGGCAAACTACAGTGTTGTGTCTGAATTCATAAAAACAATCAATTATTATTAAAAATTAACTTGTCCATACATGGCGCGGACAAGGACGGACTGTTCTGATCATAGACTCTATACAGATGGACAATGCTAACACGCTAGCTCAACTAATAGTGTAGTTTAAGAGGTTTTGCTCCAAATCTCTCTGGCTCCTATTAATTTACATTGAAAAGTAAACTCCTCTCTCTCTTGTGATAGTGATAGAACCAAACCAGCAAGGAGTGTTGCAGGCCCTGTTGAACCAGTATCAGGCCCTTCTTTAGTCCCTCTTGGCCCTGGGTCTATGCAGGCTGAGTTGAAACAAATGTGTTCTGACAGTGATTGGCCAGAGTGCTGCTGGAAGCCCTGGTTATGAGTAGAGTCGAGTATAGGGCTGGTGGAAACGGGACTTTTATAGTTTTAAAGTGAGGGACCCCTGCTTTAAGCACCACATTAGAAAAAAAAAAACAGGTGACTTGTACAAAACTATTAATATAAAAATGGGAAAATCAAACCATTATTATAAAGTCTAAATTGAGCTGGTCCCATGCATATTCCCTTACCCTGGATGCTCTGGGGGCCCACGATGTTGGTGGCCTGGTGAGCCGGGTACTCCACGCGGGGACGAGCGATGCCCAGCTGCTCCATGACGCCGTGAAGGAGGCGCTGGATGTCGGCCTCGGACACCTGGTCTGCCGTGCGCGGGCTGCGGGCTGGAGCGCTCCTCAGGCAAAGGCACAGGAGCAACCCGACGAATGACAAGTGTGCAACCGATGCCATGACTGTGGGGACGCCTGGAGGATGGAGGATGGAGGATAGAGATGGAGATGCAGAGCGCAAATGTACACAGGAAACAAGGCGAAATGAATGCTATACATCAACACAAGTGCGTCACCAGTGATTACATGATAACAATGGTCTTATTCGGGCCAGGTGGATTTGCAGAGCGGAATATCATCAAACACAGATGTTAAAACATTGAAATAAACCTAAACCTGTATGTGTGTGTATGTGTGTAGAGCCAAATCCCATTTATAACTGAGAAATATTAAAAACAAGATCTTACCCGTGTCTGCTGTGGATGGAGCTGCACCTGTCAAGGCAGCAACGGTGTTTCAACTACTTCCGCTTTCAAAATAAAACTGAGTTTATCATGAGCATTCTGGACCATGGATCCATTATCTGGACAGACTTAGACCGGGATAGACGTGTAGGCTGAACGCCACAAAAGTTAAACACGAGTCCATGAGCACTCTCGCTTCTCAGCAAGAGGGTTCTGGGTTCAAAACCTGGTCGTAACAGGGCCTTTCTGAGTGGAGTTTGCATGTTCTCCCTGTGTCTGCGTTGGTTCCCTCCGGGTGCTCCGGTTTCCCCTACCACTAAAAACATGTACTATGGTTCAGGGTGAATGAGTGTGAGTGTGGGGCAACGGATGCAAATTAGCCCATGGCTACAATCCGGAGGTGTGTTCATTAACATGCAGTCCCAAACAAATATAATTATGCAGCCCCCAGACCATTCTTGTTACTTATGGACTTGCAGCATTGATGAAGGTTAAAATGAGCTACCATGGTATAACACCCAATGTAAAACCTATTTTTAAATCAAGAAAAACATTTCATTCTAATTTTGAATCCAACACATAATTATCAATAAAAAATATAAATCATTGCTCAATCCTTTGACTCTGGTTTTGGTTCAAACCAAACACAGTAACTGAACTAGTATTATTTGGAAATGTCTACCAGAAAATGATTTACAAATTAAAGAAATCCTTTTGGTGGCAACGCACCCTAAAAGCCAAAGGGAAGTGCACATACGATTGTGGGCTCCGTCTTCAGTCTGGTTTATCAATTGTCCTAGAGGTTTCTGATGGTTCCCCTGTATATTTTGGTCTATTAAATGTCTACTGTGGTGTATGTATGTGGACCCCTCTCCCAAGAAAAGTATCTTTTCTCTTACAATGCCCTCAGAGTCCCATGGACTGGTCCAGAAGGCCAGTCCACGGGACTGACCTTCATGTCCACGGGACATGAATTCTTGACCTCATTCATGTATGAAAAGAAAAATCATCTACAAATGTATGCAGATGCAAACAGACAGCTCTGCAGGACGCAGAGGCTCATTAAAGCTTTTTGAAGGTCGAGTTTATGGTTTAATCAATGTCACGTAATCCTTTCTGGACGCGGTCTTTAGCCATTTGAACCGGTTCACAGCTGCACGTCCAGTCGCTGTGAAAACACATGAGCCTCATTTCTATTTCATGGCAGAGTTAGAAGTGACCCAGAACAACTAGAACATATGCAATCAAACTCATCAGGTAAAAAATATTTATTAAAATCTGACAATAGTTTGTAAAAAGACACCAATATAAGTTAACAAACAAACAGAAAGTCTCTTCAGAGTGAGGTCCGTCTTCGCCAGGATGAGAGTTTGCTTACTCCAGTCAGAACCGGAGGGATGTGGTCCTTCTGTTCTCTGCTTTTAGTGACAGGACAGAGATCCCTACAGAGAAACAACATGTCAGCCTATGTTCTTATTAATAGAATAAAACATTTGCATACATTATACCTTTTTCTTTTATCCTGCTCGTTGCAGCCGGAGTAGTCTTCTGTCATTTTATAACTGTGCTCTGAAAAGACAACAGATCAACGCTCAACTGCAGAAACCAGAGCAGAGAGAGCTGTGACGCGTGTTGTGGAGGCTGACACAGGAGTGGGAGAGGCATTTGGCTGAGACAGGTCTGAACCAGGCACAAGCTCTAGATCTGGACTGGACTTGGACGGAAACAGGCCTGCCGCCAGTCCAGCCATTCCAATTGTTTGAGTTGTACTGGGCTACATGTCACAATGATACCAGTTCCATCAAGTGTTGAGTACTTTTTATACATTTTGATGCTTTGAGAGCCACAGGCAAAACAATGCACTCTAGATTTATGTTTCGGATTGAGCTGCTGTCCCACCTGCTCAAACAGGCACTACCAAAACCAGGAAGTACGATCACATTAGTTTTGGTTTCAGGTCTCTGCATTGAAGTGGACCCTGTAACTTAGTGTATACTTTAAAGTAACAACTAAAGAATTGCAGCTTCTCTTTTTAATTTACGGTGAGATTGTCTTGTTTTAGTTGCCTTGTGTGCTATACAAATAAACGTGCCTTGCCTACTGAAGACTGACCCCATAAAGACTTAGGAGCCAGTCTACTCCCTCATGTTGAACCGTGCTCACCTTCCCAGGGCAGACAGCTCCTGAACAGCTGCAGGTTGGGGAAGTGCTCCTGGCCCAGGCTCCTCCTCAGTCTGGGTCTTGACGGGGGGGTCTTGGTGGGCTCTGGGTCGGCTGCTTTGGTCTTAGCTCGTGTCGGGATCCATGGCATGGTCTTCACAGCTCTTTTCACTGCAGAGATACACCTTCAGATAATCTAGAAAAACTTCTGAAATTGAAAAGCATTTACCTGCGAAGCTATGGCCCTTTTGATTTCCTCTTTTCGTTTGCAGTTCTTTTGAAAGTGGGGACTCCATTAGAAACTCCATACTGTCCACCACAGACTTCGGAATGACTCCTGGTCAGAAGAAAACATGTAGTTAGTTTAGTCTTTTATTTTTAAAAAGGGACAGTGCACAGAAACATTAAGCTCAAAGACAGATATGTTCTGCACCAGATTATAGTTACACAGCTCATTTTCATCTGCAGTCCCCAGTTATATGAATAAATACAACAACATGAAATCAAATTACAACAATAGGAATTTACAATACACCAGACATACAGCATCATAGCTGTACATTATAAACACACCTCAACCAGACAAAGCATCCTCTAATTCACATGAAATCACTAAACATTTCATGCACTAATAATAGTTGATTCTTCATGTCTGCAGTGAGCTTGTTCCACCTGGGTATGCTACACTGCCCCCTGGTGGAGGCTCGTGTGGCTCTGGTTGTCCCTGCAGATGTGAACTGGATAAAGTGCCTAATGGCTGAGTGGTGCAGGTACTGTATTATTTAGGATTTTACAAGCCAAACGTAATGATGCAAATCTTTGAACATTTATTTACATTAAGGACTAAACAGTGATTGTGTAATCAACTCATTACCAAATGAACGTGGGTTTTCGATGAAAGTGCGGAGAACCAAGACCCTGAGCTCCAGCCGATCTTCAGACATCTCAGTGAGGTTGGGAGGAGGCAGGAGGCAGGGCACGAAGACTGTGGCCAGGTTTAAAGGGGTCATCAAGTTATCGTTACATCTAAAACAGAACAATACATGATTGAATGAACCCTTTGTCGACTAAAGACCAGGGGAGTGGCTGTTTCATTACAGCCTCAGTCCTGGATCTACAGCCTGTCTCCGTTCGTGGGAGTACATCCCTCTCAATGTGGGCCTCTCTGAAGTTTCTCCCTTATTGCCGGTGCGGGAGGGTCTGAAGGACAGTGCTGCACATTTATTAACATTCTGGACAGAGGTCATCCCTATGGCTCCTACGCACTTGTCATTACTGCAAGACCCGTGTGCAGAAGGACTACTTGAGCTCCTAAATCCAGGACACTTTCTAAACAGCATCTTCCCACGAATATCTTTAATTTATTCTTACATGTCATTGATATAGTTAAATTTGATTCAAATACAATTTTGCTCAACCGATTAAAAATCTCTGCAATGACTAAGACCACGGACTGTATATAGATGGACAATGCTAACCCACTTGCTCAATGAAGATGGACGAAGTTTTGATCCAACTCGCTCTGGCTCTTTTTGACTTGCATGTAAAAGTAAAGTCTGCAAGTTCAGTAACTGTTTTGGGCGTGAAAATCAGATAAATCCTAACAACTGACCAATCGGAAGCCTTTGGTTGCCGAATTCGGCTTTAGCAGGCAGTAGTACAAGTGGGGACAGACCATAGACAGTATATTAAGAGTTAAAGATGCAGTAAGCGATATTGTTAGCTTAGCCGTAGCACCAACTCCAAACCACTCCCCTCGCCTCTCCACCAAACCAAACATCCAGGATTTTCTTTGTCACAACAAGAGTGGGTGGCAAACGTGAAATTGGCATTTTTTGTTCAGCCCTTTTAGGTTTGAGAAAATATGATAACTCTGGGGCACTTGTGAGAAACAGGAAGAGGGTGAAGGGGGTAAACTCATCGCATTGGTTTATTTTTATCGCTCCAAAATATTTTTCATACATTTTTGGAGACTATAGGCATCTTGTCTATTCCATTACTATTTGAAAACACATAACTCGACTACTTTTAGGGTTTAGGGAGATTTTCCCACAAGATTTTAAAAAATGCGTCTGAAAACAATCACTGGCTGCATCTTTAACTGGCCAAATGTTACGTCACCATAGTGTTAGCCTTAATGCAGAAGAAGCAGATTTGATCATAAGCTAGCTGGAGCCAATTTAAATATATGGGCGTTTCTCCCGAGGCACAAACTGTTAGAGAGATAGTTTACCTATACATGCTAGTCAAAATCTGTTATATGCTCCATGGTCTTTTTGGTATAGTTTTACATGATTATAACAAAAACCACGTTCATACCTCATGCGTCCTACAACAGGAAATGAAAGCCAGTACCTCTGTGCGACTCGGTGAAGGAAGTCCAGGAGGTAGTGCAGAGTGGAGGTGTGTGGAGCGGGAAGCAGACAGGACAGCAGCTGCAGGGCAGAGGTCTGCTCCTCTGGACTGGACAGGGCCCGAGCGCTGAGTAACGCAGAGTGGAGCTCTGGGGGGAACAGAGGCTCTGCCAACTCTCTGCAGAACTGCTTTATCAGAGTGGCCACATCATAGGGCAGGGCTGTGGACAGGCAGTCCTCCCCACGGTTCAGCTTCGCCTGCAAGAACAAAGGTCACCGACAAGGAGGAGGTCTGATCGTGGAGTAGAGTATGAATATAGGCAAGTCTATTTTATTAATAATAGTAATCTTTATTTAGTAATCTTTATTTATATACCGCCTTTTCACTGCAGATCTGAGTCTCAAAGCGGTTTACAATTGTTATTATTTTTGGGCATTTTATCTCTCACTCCACACAGAGATGGGAGCGGGGCCAGTACAGGAGGCGCATGCCAGACATGCCTATTGGACATATTTTTAGTGGTAGGGGAAACCGGAGTACCCGGAGGAAACCTACGCAGACACGGGGAGAACATGCAAACTCCACTCAGAAAGGCCCTGGACCGACCGGGATTCGAACCCAGGACCTTCTTGCTGAGAGGCGAGAGTGCTATCCACTCAGCCACCGTGCCGCCCTAATGAAAATAAATTGAAAATAAATTGGTTTTACATGGTGCTTTTCAGGACAAAGACACTTCACATGTCATTATTCTTTCACTTCATACACGGTGGTGATAAACTACTGCAGCCACAGATGCCCTGGGGCACACTGACAGAAGCGAGGCAACCAGTAGGTACTGGTCAATGGCAGGTGGTGGTGCCATTCACACCAGACTCATTCTAATGTGGTTGACGTGTCTTGCCTAATGACACAATAACAGTTGGCACTTTACAGCTGGGGTTCCCAGGTCTAAAACAGTTTGTATCCTACACACTGAAAGAACAATTCTACAGGTCAGGTTTGTGAAGATGCAAGACTTAACATCCTCTTGCTTCTATACTTTTTTCAGTTCTGTAAACTGAAAAGAGAAAAATGTAATAAAAATATTAATACTAGATTAGATAGAAATTGGAAAATCGCACCCGTAGAGTCTTGATGCGAGGAAGCGAGCCGGGCTTCCGGAAGAGGCCAACTGTAGCGAGTCGCTCGGTCAGCAGGGAACACGCTTGCACCAAAAAGCTGTGTGTGAATTAGAACAAAAGTGACAAATTAAAAAACGGCTACAGACTTCAGGCATCAAGTCTTAGTTCAGCAACTTGTCCAGGGGCCAAATACCCAGATTTTAAAACTGCTTTGACTGTAATTGGGCTTCACATGGTTTTGTATAATGTCCATTTTGATTTACATCATCAACCAAGCGGCTCCACCTCTGCTGCCGAGGCCTGTCCTGCTCCACCCCCAGCAGAGGGCCCACCTCTGCTGCTTAATATGAACTGCTTCTGGACACCTGAATTTCTCCTACGGGGCGATCAATGAAGTATTTATCTATCAGAACTGAAGTTTACCAACATCTTTCATAGCTTCATTAGTGCCATATGGAATATTGTGACAAAAGCCTCAGTCTTGGATCGAAAGCCTCAGTCTTGGATCGAAAGCCTCAGTCTTGGATCGAAAGCCTCAGTCTTGGATCGAAAGCCTCAGTCTTGGATCGAAAGCCTCAGTCTGTCCCACTATTTGAGAAACACTGGTCTAAGGACAGTGGTCATCCCGCACCCTATGGCTCAAATGTGTTGTTATTGTATTTCCTGTGTTTGAACTGTGATGTAGGGTGATACACAAATAAATCGAATTGAAACTTGAGGCCTGCCTACACAAATAAAGCAAACAACTGCAGTCCATAGGTTCTGGTCTTTACAACAAGATAGAACATGCCTGTGTTGGCAGCTGAATTTGGCTGGATGACACTGAGCTTCTGTACATGATCTTGGTTGCCAGCAATGGGCCACATAACATGACACAGAGGGCCGCAGTTGGCCCGCAGGCCTTGGTTTGGACATGCTGGACTTATGTAATCAATGCCATCTGCATGGTGCGTCTTACCACGGGACCAGACCGAAGTCAGGGACGTAAACCCGCGCCATGTTCTCCAACGGGACCCCAAATATCCGTGCTCCACTCACGGAGAATCTGTCGCGTCTCTTTCTGCGCGTCTCCACAGTGATTCCGTGAAGAACCTGGAGGTGGAACCGGATCACCTTATGGTCTGAGAGTTTGGTCATTTTGGGACGGGTGATGCAGGTGTCAGGTGGGTGTCACGGGCACAGATCAGAGCGCTGCGGGGGTCATCTGGGTCTGATGAGTTCCACCTGATGAGACCAGGGCGCGTTCATGGTCCAGAGTCAGCCTGGGAAACGGGACACTTTGTTCTAACGTAGAGATACACTCGAACAGAATTACACTTTTTACTTGTTTGATATAAGCTACTTTTTAACAGTGAGCAGAGGTCGTTTTGACCAGAAAATATAATTATTTGAAAACAGAGGATTAGCATTTTCTATAAGGTTTTTCATTCGTGGCATCTTTGGCAATAACTAGAGCCCCGTTTCCATCACTCAATTCTAAATTACCTACTCCACTCTACTCGGCTCTACGGTAATACCTGTAATTTGGTCACTCCTCATTCCTTTAATTTATTTAGTTATGAAATAACTATGAACATTAGCCTCATGTGTGCATTGCTAATCTTAATTTGGCCCTAGTCCTGGTTCTACAGCCTCAGTCCTGGTTGTACAGCCTGTCCATTGGAGCGGATTCCTCTAAGGAATAAGGGCATCCTCGAGGTTTCTAACATTTTCCCACTGGGTTTCTGAGTGGTTCCTTTCCAACGCTGGCGGTTTCTAAGGACAGTGTTGATTCGAGACATTTATTAACATTCTGGACAGTGGTCGTCCCGCTCCCTAAATGCTAATGGCTAATGTGTTATTATTGCATATCTTGTGCTCAAACTGTTTGATTCGCTGATCTGTTGTTGGCGAATCCATCACTTTGTAAAGTCCCCTGAGACGACTGCTGTTATGATTGAGGGAAAATACATTGAATTGAACACACATCATGCATAAAGACCCCACTCGTGTCGTTCTGTCAAAAAGCATGTTATTTATTACAAAGGCAAATGTATATACAACATAGAAAGGCAAAGTAAAAACACATATTCAAGGGGAGGCGCTTGGGTTTGGTGTTGGTTTTCGTTTGTGCTGTTTTTGGTCGTTTTTGTTTTAGAAGCACTTTCTGTGGACAATTGAGGGGCCCGCCTCGTCGTACTCCTGTTTACTGATCCACATCTGCTGGAAGGTCGAAAGGGAGGCCAAGATGGAGCCGCCGATCCATACCGAGTATTTCCTCTCAGGGGGAGCGATGATCTGCGGAGGGAACAAACAGAGTTGAAGACAATCTTAGTTCTGATTTGGTTCAAGTCAAGGTAGAAATTGTTGGTCTGCGTCATGAAAAAGGACCAATAAATACAGAAACATTTATATGTTCTGGAGATTAATGCCATTACTTTCTTAAAGCTGTAATGTACTGTGTGAAGTCAAATAGCGACTCACAGGGCTCTTTCGTACACAAAGTATAACACACCAGCCTGTGTCGCTCCGTGTTTTTGGCACAGTAGGAATGACTCTGGTCTCTCTCACTCTCTGGTCTTTTTCTGGTCTCTATCTCGTATCTCTTTCTCTGGTTTCCCACTCTGTTCTCTCTCTCTGGTCTCTCTCTCTCTCTCTCTCTCTCTGACTTCTCTCTCTGGTCTCTCGCTTTCCGAATTCTCTCTCTGGTCTCTATCAGGTCTCCTCTGGTCTCTGGTCCCTCTCTGGTCTAACTTTGTTTTAATGAAACAGAAAACTGCCCAGAGTGTGATGTATAGTGGTCTCTCTCTAGTCTCTCTCTCTCGTCTCTCTACTTTTGTTTTAAAGTCAACTACTCAAACTACTCAGTGTGGTGCCATAGTGGTACAATAACATCATACTGTTACAGGACTGAGACAGAGGCTTTTAGACAGAAGTGGCTGAGCTACATGTTTGTGCCAGAAGTTCCTGATACTAGCATGGATGGATCTAAAAACAACTCCAGCTCTCTGACTGACAAGGAATCCATTCACTGTGTGTGTGCCGAGCCTCACCTTGATCTTCATGGTGGAGGGAGCCAGAGCGGTGATCTCCTTCTGCATGCGGTCAGCGATACCCGGGTACATGGTGGTGCCGCCGGACAGGACGTTGTTGGCGTACAGGTCCTTACGAATGTCGATGTCACACTTCATGATGCTGTTGTAGGCCGTCTCATGGATCCCAGCCGACTCCATCCCTGCGAGAGAGCGAGTGTGAGTGAGGGTCAAAGTACAGCATCTTTAGGACATTATAGGGAGAGGGTTTGACGCCCCATTATACAACAAAACCAGATTAGAGGCCCCAGTATAAAACAATAATAGTGTTAGTTGCTCCAGTATACATAAAAAATAGGGTTACAGGCCACTGCCAAAGTGTGAACTTAATCTTAGGGTTTAGGTCTGTGTTTTTTCACTATTTTTAATGTGATTATGATTTTAATGACTTGTGTGTGGCGACAGCGGCTGTAAAGTACCAAACCCTCATTGTATCCTTAGGCAAAACACTTCACCCATTAGAAAGAGTTTGGTGAGTGCATAAATGGTTGGTGGGGGGAGGCCAATGGCACAGACTGGTTGCCTTGCTTCTGTCAGCTACGGCTAGAAGTTAATCACCACCGTATTTGGAGAGAATGAATAATAACAGTGAAGTGTGTGTAAAACCGTTGCGTTATTGTTTTCTAGTGTCTCAAGCTGAGAGGTCCTTACCAATAAAGGAGGGCTGGAAGAGGGTCTCAGGGCAACGGAACCTCTCGTTGCCAATGGTGATGACCTGACCGTCCGGCAGCTCGTAGCTCTTCTCCAAGGACGAGGACGAGGCGGCAGTGGCCATCTCGTTCTCAAAGTCCAGAGCCACGTAGCACAGCTTCTCCTTGATGTCACGCACAATCTCCCGCTCCGCTGCAGGCCACACAGGTCAGTTAGTGTCCAGAGACTGATGGGTTCTCTGCTGAGTCTATTACTCGCACTAATTGAGTCAAGTTGTTAAATTAGACTTCTGCCGCCTGTTTCTCAGAGTAATCAGAGGAATGTGCTACAGGACTGTGGATGCAGATCAGCCTACATTTCCTCAAGTCTCCAGGTTAAGAGAGAAGTCATGAGAGAGACCAGAGGGAGACAGAGAGAGACTGAGGAGTGACCAGAGAAAGACCAGATAGAGACAAGAAAGTCAGATACCAGAAAGACCAGTGAGAGACAGACCAGAGAGAGACCAGAGAGAGAGAGGGACCAGAAAGAGACCAGAGAGAGACCATGAGAGACCAGAGAGAGACCAGAGAGAGAGAGACCAGAGAGAGAGAGACCAGAGAGAGAGAGACCAGAGAGAGAGAGACCAGAGAGAGAGAGACCAGAGAGCCAAATTTGGGCCATAAGCACTTCCCTCTTGGGCTTCATTGAGCTAGTTGGTTAGCCATGTCCATTTGTATACAGTCCATGGTTGTATACAGTCTATGTGGATCGTACCGGTGGTGACGAAGGAGTAGCCGCGCTCAGTCAGGATCTTCATCAGGTAATCTGTGAGGTCACGACCCGCCAGGTCCAGACGCATGATGGCGTGCGGCAGAGCGTAGCCCTCATAGATTGGCACGTTGTGGGTCACACCGTCTCCAGAGTCCAGCACGATACCTGCACATAGCAGACATGTTAAGGTTTTTTTATTTTTTTATTAAGCTACTGTATGCATTTAATCTAGGGTACCTAGTGTTCAAAATTACTGTACTTAGTAAACATCTAATAAGGCTCCCTTTTCACCACTACAGTCTGATACTTGAGGATTAGGAGTATTTGACATCAATTATTTCTCAGGTGAAATGTCATTCTGTACAATCGTTTGCAGCTCCCTCTGGTGGCAGCAGAGGGAGTTACATACTTGATTCATGATATGTCTTCTATTTAAGACATTATGCCACATTCTAAAACATTAAGTAACAAATCAAGTATCTTCAATATTGTTTTGAATGGTCAAAAATAATATTATGATATTATAATATTTCTTCTTTTTTACTAATGCTCCTCTTGTAAGGACTCACCGGTGGTACGGCCGGAGGCGTAGAGCGACAGCACGGCCTGGATGGCCACATACATGGCCGGGACGTTGAAGGTCTCAAACATGATCTGGGTCATCTTCTCCCTGTTGGCCTTAGGGTTCAGAGGGGCCTCTGTGAGTAGGGTGGGGTGCTCCTCAGGGGCCACTCGCAGCTCGTTGTAGAAGGTGTGGTGCCAGATCTGAAACAACAGCAAAGTCAAATGGAAATCCACACTCTCTAAAAACAAAAAAGGAAACTATTGCTATATTTATATTAGATCTATTTTTTACACAATATTGTAAATGTCAACATCTGCCTTAACTTTACATAAGAACTCTGAAACAATTCTGAAACTACTAGGATTCCCATAGCCGTCTTTTTGACTGCCCCATTCAAATTGATGGAATTGTGAGAAATTGCATTTGCTCTTCCCAGTTGGAACCCCAGGATCTGCTTAGAACCAGAACCAGCACTTTGGAAAACAGAGGCTTTACTTGCCACAGAAGGTTGTTTGAAAATATAAGACTAAAGGCCCGTCCCAATTCTCCCCCTTTCCCTAAAAAAGCACCCTTGCACTAGGGTAGGGTGTCCCAATACTTAGGAGGGCCCTCAGACCCTTAAAAACCACCCTTACACAAACGTACATGAGCTGAGTAACTACACTTCCAAAACTAAGTCAATTAGTTCTAGTGTTATATATGGGGTATCTAACTCTTTTCTTCATCTTATCAGAAGCAATGTTTTTCACACTTCTTAAAATTAGCCTTGCGATTTACTATTCAACGATTTGGGCTGAGAGCTGATTGGCTGAGTGAGGGTGGTCCTCTCTTTTCAATTTACCGTCTGAAAAATCTGATACATCATGTGAAAACTAGTGATAGAAGCTAACTGTTTTGAGAGGAAGGAAATCAAAGTTACAAAGGTTGAAGGGTAAGTATCTTTATGTTCAAACCATTACAGTGTGTGTCTCACCTTCTCCATGTCGTCCCAGTTGGTGATAATGCCGTGCTCGATGGGGTATTTGAGGGTCAGGATACCCCTTTTGCTCTGGGCTTCGTCTCCTACATAGGAGTCCTTCTGACCCATACCCACCATCACCCCCTGGAGGAAGAAAACGAACCAGATGTGAGTTTGGACAAAGGTATGATGTTTAGGTAAGTTGGATACTTTTCTGATCTTTCTTAAAGAGCCAGAGAGTCCTGGTTCTACGCCCTTGTCCTGGATCTACAGTCTCAGTCCTGGATCTACACCCTTGTCCTGGATCTACAGCCTGAGTCCTGGTTCTACAGCCTCAGTCCTGGTTCTACAGCCTCAGTCCTGGATCTACAGCCTCAGTCCTGGATCTACAGCCTCAGTCCTGGATCTACAGCCTCAGTCCTGGATCAGTGTGGAACAGTGTGGATCCAGGACTTTTTAGGACATTTATAAACATTTCTGGACAGTGGTCAACCTGCTCCCTATGGACCAATGGCTCCTATGTGTTTGTTATCTCCAACTGTAGTAAGTAGTAATCTTTATTTATATACCGCCTTTTCACTGCACATCGGAGTCTCAAAGCGGTTTACAATTGTTATTTTTGGGAGTGGGGGTGCCAGAACAGGAGGCACATGCCAGACCTATTGTACATATTTTTAGTGGTAGGGGAAACCGGAGCACCCGGAGGAAACCTACGCAGACACGGGGAGAACATGCAAACTCCACTCAGAAAGGCCCTGGTCCAACCGGGATTTGAACCCAGGACCTTCTTGCTGAGAGGCGAGAGTGCTATCCACTCAGCCACCGTGCCGCTTGATTCTCTGATCTGTTGTTGAGAAATTCCCACATTTGTAAATTCCTCCCAGACAACAGCTGTTATTTCCTGTGTTTGACTCTGCGTACCTGGTGACGAGGGCGCCCCACGATGGAGGGGAAGACTGCACGAGGAGCATCATCCCCAGCGAAGCCTGCCTTGACCAGGCCTGAGCCGTTGTCGCACACGAGCGCGGTGGTTTCATCGTCGTCACACATCTCTGCGTCAGGCTGGAGGCTGAAAAACACGGTTTGGAAACATGAGCTGAATGAAGTCAAGTAGAAAGTAAAGTTTGTGCAGCGCGTTACCAAACCAGGGCCACAAAAGCATTTCACATTAGCCCTGTTTCCACCAGATCCTGGCTCTATACTCTACTCGACTCATCTCTACTCTTACAACAAACCAGTATCCAGGGAAATTCCTTTGTAACCATGGCTTCCAGCAGCGCTCTGGCCAATCACTGTTACTACACTGTGCGTGTGTGTGTGTGTCTGTGGTTGGTTAGTTAACAACTGACTGTGCGTGTGGTTAGTTGACAGCTGACTGTGTGTGTGTCTGTGTGTAGTTGGTTAATTGACAGCTGACTGTGTGTGTGTGTGGTTGGTTAGTTGACAGCTGACTGTTTGTAGTTAGTTGACAGCTGACTGTGCGCGTGTGTCTTTTGACAAGTGGCTTAAAGAGAAGAAAGAAAGAAGGTATTTTCTTTCCTCAGCTGTTCCCGTCCACCTGTGCAGCAGCTCTGAGCATCTGTTGAGACGTATCCATCTCCTGTGCTGAACAGCTGAAGCCATTATTCCACTTTTTTTTATATCGAAATACATTAAAGCTGGGGTGCCTAAATTTAAAATCACAACAATAGAACTATGTCATAAACTCTCCAGTTCTGTTCTGAACTTTGCAATAAAATGATAAAGTTAGGTACCCGCCTAGCTATAATAAATATTCATTATGAGAGCTCGCCACTGATCTCACGTCATACTAGTGGCAGCTCGTAAAGTCATTGAAACCACTGATGGAGGTCATGAGATCGTAAGACATGGTAAACTCTGAAATATTCAAAAGTTATCTAGTTTATTTCCAGATATTTTCTATCAATGATAAAAAGAACTGCAATTACTAAGGAGCAGTGGGTCTGAACCTTTTAGTAGAGAGTCAGACTTGTCACAAATAGTAAAACTGTTTTGATTGGATTCAGGCTGTTCTGAGCTTCAAAATTTGCTATGAGATATGTCCTGCTGAAGTTGGCTGAATGACAAATTTCTACTATGTCATATTCGCGCCATATAATAGAGTCTGTGACACAATAAAAAACAAATGTCAGTTTAAACGAATAAAGTCAACGGCTGGATTCTATAGAGCTTTCCTACGAGGCATAACATGCTTTTATCGGCAGAGCTGGAGTTGGCTGAATGACACTGCGAATTAGGGTCTATGATCTACTTTGTGTTGGCGGCATAGGGCCACATAACAGGACACATAAGTCTGAATTAAGGGTCGGATCTGCTTTCTGGGTTATTCCAAGACATTGAGAAATAAATGATTTTTGAAATAAATATTCGCTCAAAAACCCAAAAAAGAAAAGTTCACCAAATCTGGTAAAAATATGAAGGAAACAGAAGGTTACAAGGGGTATGTAAGAATCTCCAAATAATTCAATTTCAGCATGAATGTCAAATTAAAGCAGAGTAGTAGAGTCACATAGTACATATCTGACCCATAAAGATAAATAATTTGCTTTCAAAGTCATCAATAGTTCCTACTCCTGTTTATTATTCATTACAGACAACATTTCTAGCCTCTGAAATTTCAAAATTTCTTGCAGCTTTTTTACTCACCAAGTTGTAACGTGGAGGTTCTGCTGTTTCCGCTGGGACGATGTTTGAGCTGCAGCGGGGGTCCTTAAATACAGCCGGACCGTCCCGACTGGAGAGGGGGTCTGGGGCCTCTGAGGGGGGTCTGGGGGGTGGAGTCTGGCCCGCGGTTCACACAAGTCCAAATAAGTGCCGCTCGCAGCCGTCCCAGGGCAGGCCGGGGGTGACTGATGTCCCTCTACACAAACACTGACGTTCAGAAGTGTAGCCCACAGGAGTGAGAGAGAGAGAGAATGTTGCCTCGTGTTCTCATTGTTGTGGACAAGGAAACGTCAGCTCTGGCAACATAAGCATGATGTACCTCGTTGGAAAGCTCTAGAATCCAGCTGTGACTTCATTTGTATGAGCTCACGTTTGTTTTTGATTGTGTCACAACATACAGTATCTGCTGCTGTGAGAACTTCAGCTCTGTGCAACGTGTATGAATATGACATGTCATTTCTCTGGTCTTGCTCTCTCTGGTCTCTATCCCTGGTCTCTCGCTCTGGTCTCTCTCTCCGGTCTCGCTCTCTCTGTGGTCTCTTTCTCCGGTTTCGCCCTCTCTAAAGTTGGTCTCTTTGATCTCTCTCTGGTCTCTCTCTCTGTGGTCTCTCTAAAGTCTGTCTCTTTGGTCTCTCTCTGGTCTCTCTCTCTGTGGTCTCTCTAAAGTCTGTCTCTTTGGTCTCTCTCTGGTCTCTCTCTCCGGTCTCTCTCTCTGTGGTCTCTCTTTGGTCTCTCTCTCTGTGGTCTCTCTAAAGTCTGTCTCTTTGGTCTCTCTCTGGTCTCGCTCCGGTCTGGCTCTCTCTGGTCTCTCTCCCTGGTCTCTTTCTCTGGTCTCTCTCTCCGGTCTCGCTCTCTTTGTGGTCTCTTTCTCCGGTTTCGCCCTCTCTAAAGTCGGTCTCTTTGGTCTCTCTCTGGTCTCCTCTCCGGTCTCGCTCTCTGTGGTCTCTCTGAAGTCAGTCTCTTTGGTCTCTCTCTGGTCTCGCTCCGGTCTGGCTCTCTCTGGTCTCTCTCCGGTCTGGCTCTCTCTCTGGCCTCTCTGGTCTCTCTCTCTGGTCTCTCTCTGGTCTCTCTTCCTGGTCTCTCTCCAGTCTCACTCTCTCTGTAGTTTCTCTAAAGTCTGTCTCTTTGGTCTCTCTCTGATCTCTGTCTCCGGTCTGGCTCTCTATAGCCTCTCTATAGCCTCTCTCTCTGGTCTCTCTCTGGTCTCTCTCCCTGGTCTCTCTCTCCGGTCTCGCTCTCTCTCTCTAGTCTCTCTCACTGGTATCGCTGTCTCTGTGGTCTCTCTCTCCGGTCTCACTCTCTCTAAAGTCTGTCTCTCTCTCCAGTCTTGCTCTCTTTGGTCTCTCTCTGTGGTCTCTCTCCCTGGTCTCTCTCTCCAGTCTTGCTCTCTCTCTGGTATCGCTGTCTCTGTGGTCTCTCTCTCCATTCTCACTCTCTCTAAAGTCTGTCTCTCTCTCCAGTCTTGCTCTGACTGAATATTCTGCATCTGTGTGCGCATACAGCTGAAAGCAGAGGAGAGGGGTTGTCGGTGATCCAGAGATTGTACCCAGAGATCCTGACTGAGGACTGAGGGCTATGGAGCTGGTGTGAAGGATCCCAGTCAGAACAGAAGTTACGTAGTTAGAAAATTTCGATGCTGCAGGGCAGGCAACGTAAGGGCCTTGCGGTGACCAACGCGTTGCGCAAGTGACGTCACGTCACCTCCGTAAGCTCCGCGCCGCGCGAGTATAAACTAGGCTTTAGTTTGCATGTTCTTCCCATGTCTGCGTAGGCTTCCTCCAGTTTCCCCCACAGATAAACACATGTAAAAGCTGTTCAATCTTCCAGCTATGGTTCTGAAGAGCATCAGCATCTTGGTTGATGCTCTTGGCAACATCAGATTTGCAGATAGAACCCCAAAACATACTGTACTTTAGGCAGGAGGCTGAATATGTTTACCATGTTTATTTATGATGCCAGAGTTGAGCAGAGAAGGCAGGGATTAAGTCAATGGAGCTGGGACGTACACAAGAGACATGCATGGACAAGACACATCCAGATCTGAGGTGGCCAGAGACCACAGAGGGACCCGAGAGAGACCAGAAAAAGACCAGAGTGAGACCAGAAGGTGACCAGAGAGAGAGACTAGAACGAGAGACCAGAGAGGGAGACTAGAAAGAGAGACCAGGCCCATCTCTCAGTATTTAAAAGATTTCTTGTTTTCTAAAAGATCAATCAAAAGGTACAATCAAAAGGTACACCAGCTTTAACAAAATATGTGTGACTTTCAGTTTTAGACGTTTTAGATAATGAATGAAAGCAGAATTATGATAGTAACACAGCACTTTTACAACATGACATCCCCTGCGTGTGCATGACTGAGGGAGGGGGGGTCTGCGATAACATACCAGACAGCTGAGAAGCAACAGTAACCGTGTGTGTGTGTGTGTGTGTGTGTGTGTGTGTGTGTGTGTGTGTGTGTGTGTGTGTGTGTGTGTGTGTGTGTGTGTGTGTGTGTGTGTGTGTGTGTGTGTGTGTGTGTGTGTGTGTGTGTGTGTGTGTGTGTGTGTGTGTATGTAGACGGGAGGACTGGGGGTGGACCTCTTGCCTGGAGCAGTATTTCCTGGGAAGGTCTGTGGACGCGGACGGACGCAGAGCTCTGATTGGCCGGAGCGTGTCCTTATAGGGAAGTGCAGAGTGACAGGTGCTGGGGGCTCCTTATTCGTCACCTCAGTCTCACGGCGCAGACACCCTATCAGGAAGTGTCCACACAAATGCAGCCGCTTCCACCACTCACCACTACTTATGGTGTGTTCGGAGCAGACGGCAAAAGAGGATCAGGAAAATACAATCCACTTAAAGCTGTAATCAGACCACAACATTAACATGTTATCTTTTGTGTAAGAAATAGCCCTGAGAGAAATGAGAGAGACCAGAGAGAGAAATGAAAGAGAGACCAGAGAGAGATGAGAGACAGAGAGACCAGAGAGCGAAATGAGAGAGAGACCAGAGAAAGAGAGAGATGAGAGACAGAGAGACAAGAGAAAGACCAGAGAAAGAAATGAGAGAGACCAGCGAGAGACAGGAGACACCAGTGAAAGAGACCAGAGAGAGAGAGATGAGGAAGAGACAAGAGAGGCCAGAGATATAGAGAGACAGAGAGAAAAATGAGAGAGACCAGAGAGAGAAATGAGAGAGACCAGAGAAAGAGAGAGATGAGAGAGAGAAATGAGAGAGAGACCAGAGAAAGCTAATCTGAAGATGTGACAAAGGCCAAGTATGTAAAAATGTTTTTTTTTAAATGTGATAGAACAAAACTGTTTTGGATTCATTTTATTCCGTAGTTTCTTTGTTGTGGTTTGAACAATGAAAAAGTACCCCTGCTTTAAAAATGAACTTCTGAAGACACAACATGACACAAGGATCTAATTTGCACAAGTGAAAATGATTCTAACTTGAATCAAGAAATGTTTCACTTTTGAAGCTGGGGTATTTCTCTTTCAAACCACAACAAAATGGAACTATGTAATAAAATACATTGTTTGGTACTGCGGCTTGAATTCCATTTTATTCCTTTTGTGATCGTGTCCATTCACAGATGTTTGGGCCTCGGTATTTTCATTCTGTTAAAGTAGCAATATGTGTAATTTTCATGTCAAGCCCTGTAATGGCCCTAATATGTCAAAATACTTCTAATAACAGTAATTCATCCGAGACATTTTTATTTGAAAATTTGTTTTACGGCCCCTAAATCTTGTTAATGTTTTCATTTCGATGTCCCGCCCTCCACCGTTTTACCAATCAGCTAGTCTCACAGGTAAAGTAACATGTGGCCGCAGTACTAAAACAGGTCTTGTTCTCAAATCATTAACAAAAAACAAGAACTAAAATTATAAGGTGTTGTTGACAAAACTCTTGTCTATTCAGTTATTATGGTCCCAGCTGGATTCGTCTGCAAATCTGGCAACCTGAGTCAGGGAGAGTGCAGTACCGCTTTTGGCCAGACTTTTTACATACTGCTCCTTTAAGT